TACTACAAAGCTTTAGAAATCTATTTCTTCTCTTTTCCTTCTCTCTCTCTCTCTCTCTCTCTCTCTCTGTCTCCACCATCTTCTCACTTCAATCTTCTTAAACTCTAAGCACTCTGTTTCACTCCAGCAAACCAAGCTTCTCTATTTTTATGAAGCTACATACTACGGCACACTATTCATTGCAGTACATACAGCTCACCCAAGCCTTGGTCGCCTCAAACCAATGCCATCTATTAAAATTTAGGGATTCTTGAGAAGATGATTTAAATTCGAATCAGGTTTGAATTTTTTCTTAGAAATTATCAAAATAAAAATTTCTCAGCAAATTTTAAAACCTAATATTATTTAAAAATAAATTTTATGATCTTTTGTCCTATAAATCACTTATTTTAAACCCATATTATCTTGACTAAATTATTAAGTCAAAATTCTTATAGTAGTTAGTTGCCTACATGCTTATGTATGGTCATATACTACATTATTCATTTTGCTTTTTTTTTTTGGTATTGTTTTAGTATTATCACTTTGTGGTTATTTAGCAGGTTTAAATAACCTGTACCACTTATCTGTACTTTGGGTTTGAGAATTGGATCTAAAGCAAACCAGATTTGAATTTTTTTATTGGATATTTGGAACAAGTTGCTTTCGATTGGATTCATTCCAAGGACGAGGAACTAATATCATCTAGGTTTGTTCTTGGATTTGGTTGAAACTTAATGATACTGGCCTTATTTTAAATCCAAATATTTGGGTCATTCATTATCTTATTCTTTCCTTGCAATTGACTTCCACCAAATCTGCCTAGCTAAATCTATTAGCTTGCATCATTTGACTGTACAACTCTTCATTAAAGTTGAGCCCTTTAAAGGTGTTTTTTAGGATATTTTGGAATAAGTTGGATTCATTTCTAGGACAACTAATGACATTTGGGTTTGTTCTTGGCGTTGGTTGAAATTGACCGACCATGTTATCAATCGTAATTACTAGAGTCATCCATTATCTTATTCTTTGCCCTTTTGATACATTGGTCCCTTGACTTGTGCAAAATATGCCTGTCTAAATCTAATTAGGTTGAGTTATTTGACCTTATTGTTCAGTGTGGAGTCAAAATTTTATGAACTATCTTGGATTAGAATTCATCTTAATTTTCAATATTGGTGGGTTACCAGTTTGGTTGTTGTTCACATTTAATTTTTCAAAAGGTGGCTAGAATAACTCAATACATTTACACTTAATTTTTCAGATAGTGGCTAGCAAACTCAAGCTTCATTAAATTCAAAATTGTTGTCTATTATGTCATAAAAAGATTGTTGCGTTATATTGAAGTATCCACAAGAAGTAATAAAAAGGAGAGAGGAGGAGGAAGAGAGTGGAGATGGGTGTCATCCGAGAAGGAAAACAAGTTTTTTTTAGTGCTTGCAACGGGAGTTCTTCACCTTCTTCAAGAATGAAGAATTATTATTATTTTTTATTCAAGGAAAAGAAGAAGCTCTTGGCCTTAGCAACGAATGTTCTCATTCGAACTCCAACAATAGAGAGAAACAACATCTCATTCTCTACGTCTAGCCCTAATCTTTGCAGTAGATGGTTGTATTTTCACTTAATTATACAAAGTGGTATCTTTATCTATATCTTAAATTTTGTGTGAAGTATAGTTCTCCATGTACTACTTTTAAAGTTTAGTGAATTATTTGATGTCTGTTTGGCCATAGATATAGGACTTATTTAAGCCGAGCCACATAAAATTTGGTGTTTTCTTTTATGTTATTTGATTACCTTTATAGTTACTTTGTGGTTTTCCTTACTAGCTTCTTAGATTAAAGGTGATATTTCCTATCAATTGGTATTAGAGTTTGATTTATGAAAAGTATAATGGCCATGAGTTTGAGATTGGAAAGTTTGATGGCTTAAAGAGTTATGATCATTGGAGAACCAAGATGCATGGTGTTTTTGTACTACAGAGACTTATGAAGACACTCATGGGGCATAGCAGAACACCTATCACAATGACAAAGATAAGACTGAGATGGATGAGAAGGCTCTGCCAGCGGTTTGATTGTGTTTGGCTTGCTAGGTCTTAGAGGAGACACTTGTAGATGGTTTATGGCTCAAGGTGTAGTCTTTGTATAAAATTACAAAGCCTCTCCGACAAATTTTATCATAAGCAAAATTCTACTTCGCATGTCGGGAAGTATGCCTATTAAATCACATTTGAATAAATTTGATTCCATCATTTTAGATTTGAGGCATGTTAATGTGATTGTTGATGATAAATGTCAGGCTTTGTTAATTTTTGCTCTTTATCTCTCTTTTATAAGCATTTTTAGATATAATAAGCTTAAAGGAAAGAATTTACCTATTTCAATAAATATAATTTCGAAGCTGAGGAAGTTATAAGCTAGTTGAAGATTTATTGATGGTTAGAAGGATATCCTATGAGTGAGGGTTCTCTTTTAACCATGATAAGAGTAAATCTTAGAATAAATTAAAATAGATTACTTGCTTCTATTACAAGGAGAAATAGCACATGAAGAATTATTTTATTTTGAAGAGAAGAGAGCAAAAATTAGGTGGGAGCTATAAAAATGATAAGTCAATTGATGCAAGTATTATTGCAAATTTTTCTGGTGATGAAATTTGTGATGCTTTTTTGGTGATTGAAGACAACAACTATAAAGAGTAGTGGACTCTTGACTCAGTTTGTTCTAATAAGATGTATTTTAATTTAGATATATCTTTTATATATGAGCCAAATCCTGATGGTTTTGTTTACATAAGAAACATAGCCATATGCAAGATTGGATGTTTTGGCATTTTGAAGTTAATTGTGCATAGTGGTTTAATTAAATTGTTTTATGGAGTCATATTTAGTACATTTGAAGAAGAATTTAATATTTCTAATTGTCTTAGTGTTGCAGGATATAGATTTTCTGGTGATGCTAACGCCCGCTAGGTTTAAAAAGATGTGATGATTGTGAAGGTGAATAGAGTTAGTGAACTTTGCGTGTTGTAGAATGCAATGTATGTGTTGATATGTTGGATTCTACAACTGTTGTTGTAACTTATGGAAGCAAGAATGGTACTAAGCATATAATGTGAATTACTAGAAAAGTGGTAGTATCTTTGAATTCTCTTTCTGATGATTCTAGAAGAGCGGTGCAAAATAAAGTTTCTCTCAAGTGGAAGCTTCCAAAAGATAGATGGATATTATATGATAAGCAAAAAATCAAAATAAAGGAACAATACAATAACAAGACAAAGTTTGACAAATTTATCACTGATGGACTGAGGTATTGCAAAGCCTTATATAATCTTCGTGGTTGATGACAGAGGTGCTGTAGAGAGTGTGTGTCAAACATCATCCCTAAGCTAATGCATTGAAAATTTAGCCTCCAGTGGGAGGTTATTATGGATGGAGTCAATTTTTTATGAACTATTTGATAAGATTTGGTTTTTCAAGATTGATGGTTTCAATGTCAAAATTCATTTGGGCTTGATTTATCAAGATAATGTCTACTAAATTCTAGCTTCACTAAATCAAGCTTACTATTTACCATCTCTATTCACCTTATAAAGAGATGGTTGCATTATGTTAAAGCATTCACAATAAGTAGCAACAAAGAGAGGTGAATAAGAGGAAGAGAAATGAGTGGGTGTCATTTGAGAAAGAAAAGAAATCATTTTGGGTGCTTGTAAGGTGAGTTTTTGGCTTCTTCAAGAGCAAATTTGTGTTGTTATTTCTAGTTCTAGCAAGAGATGAAGCTCTTAGTCATAACAAGGAATAGTTCTCATATGGACGCCTATAATAATAGAGAGGAGAAGAGAGTAATTGGAGCAACACTAATATCTCCTTCACATTTAGTCCTCAACTTTGCAGTAGGTGATTGCATTTTCTCTCAGCCAGACTCATTGTTATATTTGTCCATTTCTCTTTATTTATATGAAATGTAATTCTTCATGTACCTGTTTAGCCTTAGACATAGACTTAAGTAGGATAGCATAAATTTTTATTTTTATTTTTATTTTTAATTTATGGCACTTGATCTATTTGCATTTACTTTATGATTTATCATATTTTCCCTTAGATTAAGGGCACTAAGTTTAAGATTAAGGGCACTAGCTTTCCTAAAACTCACAGCTCTTCTTCGTTAAACTTCAACCTTTAAAGGGGCATTTGTGCACTTTGAGTTGAACTGCATTTTCATTTTGATGATTGTTCCTCTTGAGTTAATGATTCATATTTTAGATAAATTTGGATCCATTTATGATTTTTATTTATTAAATGCCCTATTGTGAGGCTAATGCTTGCTTATATCATATCTGAATTGGTATTTGGGTACTAGTTATGTTTCAAGAGCTTCTAGTTATGGGAAAATGATCAAAATGATATCTTGACTCTTTATGAAGGATCAAAATTATTCTCAACTATATTAAAGGACTATTTTGATTCTTCAAGTTTTTAAAAATGAATCAAAATAGTCCCATGGTGAGACTATTTTGGTTCTTCTTTAAGGAGTCAAGTGATCAAAATTGTCATAAAATATAATAGGAGATTATTTTGGTCCTTATAAAGAGGAGAATGACCATTTTGGTCCTTTTCTCCTCTAGTTATTCTCAGAGTGCTTAACATCATTGATTTATGTCATTGCTAAGACATGAACTCTGCTGGAAGCTAGTATCACATGTTAGATACAATATCATCCATTTTCTTATATTTTCACAATTAGACATGCTATGAGCTATTGCGGTTGGTATGTGCTCTTTGTTCAACAAATTTATGACTTGACTGATGTAAGTTGGAGGTAGAACCCAAAGTGGGTTAAAAGTTAATGTTTACTCAATAACTCAAATACCATTTCTGATTGTATGAACTTTAAAGGACAACTAATTAACTATGAATTCTCACACTAGAAAAATCAGTTTTGCTGTGCTTAAGTTCTTTGACAGAATTTTGATCTTTAGGCTCATTCTTCTTTTATGGCTAAATTGTTTTGTTGCAGACATATTCAGAGTCACGAGGCCATAATTTTGCACTTAATGCGACATTTGATGAAATTGAAGTGAGGAAGTATAATGGATTAATTATACCTGGTGGAAGAGCTCCAGAGTATCTTGCTATGGATGAATCCGTCTTAAAATTGGTGAGGGAATTTTCAAACTCCGGAAAGGCAATTGCATCCATTTGCCATGGACAGTTGATACTGTCTGCTGCAGATGTTGTCAAAGGGCGTAAGTGTACAGCATATCCTGCTGTTAAGCCTGTTCTGATTGCTGCAAGATCTTATTGGGTAGAAGCAGAGACTACAGCTACTTGTGTCAGGGATGGTAATCTTATTACAGGAGCAACATACGAAGGGCACCCTGAATTTATTCGTCTGTTTGTAGAAGAACTTGGTGGTACCATACAAGGTTCGAACAAAAAGATTCTCTTTCTTTGTGGGGTATGTTTCTAACATAGTTTACTTATTATCTATTGGCCGCATACAGTAAGTTCATTTTCTTCCTTTAATTTGGATATTGTAAGGGGGCATTAAATAAAAACAAGTCAGAAAATTGATTGGTTGTGTTCAATTTTGATCACTTTTGAATACACTGATTGGTTTAGTTTGGATTAGATCTTGGGCTTGGGAAAACCAAATAGCTTGAACTAGGTTGAACTAAGCTATACATTGTACCAAATATATCAAATCAATACAACCCTAAAAATATTTTTTACTTTTCAATTTTATATTTTTTTGTTAATTTGGAATTGACTTTTATCTTTGATGGCAACTTCCATTGTTGACCTCCTTTTTGCATCGGTCACTTGTACAATTCTATTGCACACTTTGTTGGTCGATTTATTTCTTATACATATGTTCAATCCGTACATAAAAATTTTCAAACAATACCTTATCTTGCAAAATGGATTGCACTGTTACGTTCGGCTCGTCAAGACGGATCAAATGAGTCCATCTGCACTCGAATCGGATATCATTTGATGCGTGTTGAGAAGAGAGAATTTCTGTGAGGGCATTTTTCTTAATAAATTTAATAATTAAAATAAATTTAAAATTATATAAAAATATAAAACAAATTTTCATTAGCAAATCAAAACATGAAAATTTAATAAATACAATCCATAAATTTAAACAAATATTTTAAATTTATTAATAAAAATTTTATATGCGGAATGGACATATGTATAAGAGGTAAATCAACCTACAAGTGTGCAATAGGATTGTACAAGTGACTGATGCAAAATGGAGGTCAACACCATCTAGTGAAGTTTGAAACAAGACTAAACCAGAGACACCTCTAAATTTTTTAATATTCATTAACCAAATGAGTTTATAGCTTAGATAACTACTTTGATGGTACCTCTTTATGGTTGAGCATGACTTGTTATTGATTGACTTTATTATACTGCAAGTATCATATTTCATGATCATCATCATCAACAAGCTTATTTAGGGTATGTTTTATGAATCTTTCTTCTCCATTTATATATGTTGAGTATCATATGGGTTGTTAACTCTATTTTACTAAAATTTTCTAGTTCAACTTTTAGTCATGTTATCTTTGGTCTAATTTTTTTTTCCTTTTAAATTTTATCATATTAATTATGCCCTCTCATTTATTGGCTCATTTTTTTGTCCTCCATTATATATATGCTCAAAATTTTAAATTTATTTCTATTATTTTATTTTCGATAAGTGCTACCCTTTGTATATCTTTGATATTATCATTTCTTACTCCATCCTTTCTTATTTTGTACGCTTTGATCTAAATATTTTTATTCAGGTACATTTAATTTTTCTACTAGTGATTTCTTTGTTACTGAACATATCTATACAGTATAAATGGTCCCATTATTTTTTTTATAAAATATTTATTCAATTTTCCATTGCATTCTCTAATGGGATGATACTTCCTAGGCAGTTCACTTCTGTCATTTGAAGCATTTTAACCACCTAGCTTTTTAGATGTTGATTTGTCCATAGTCTCGAGTTAATAAGGGAATAGACAATTAGTCATATTTCATAAATTCTTTCAACACTTAGTACTCAAATTTAAAAATAAGCATCTAAACTTTAACGAAAGAGCCACCCAATAAAAAATTGCTATTTAAGCATACAAATAAAATAAATTTTACCTATTTTTAGTTGAACCCAACATTCTATGCACAACAATCTCAATCAACAATTTAATTAATTGGGAATTTATATAAATTTTTTTTGATTTAATGAATTGAGCTTTCAAGAATAAACTCAGTGGTCAGTTACAATTTTATAGTATGGTACTAATAATGAAATATGTGTATAAGTAGTCACACTATGTCATCTAAACTTTAATTTAATATGCATATAAGTATTTAATGTAAATATGAGTACTGTCAATCATTGATTTATAAAACATTCTTTAAAATTTTATTTTTCAATTTAATTTTGTTAACAATTCATTTATTCCAAGAGCACTGCTTAAATTTGCATCGATATTAGGGGTGCAAACAAGTTGAGTTGAGCTTGAGTTAGAGGGTGGTCGTGTCGCGCTCGACTGTCAAATACCGAGCTTGAGCTCAAGCTCTAACTTGAGTTGAGCTCAAAAGTTGATCTGCTCATCCACGTCCGTTCGTCATGCCAACTTCAGTCATCAACGTCGCCAGCATTCTCTTCGTCTTCACCAATGTCCGTCGTCATCATCACCAGCGTCCGTCCAGGGTCAGTCCATCGAGATTTCATTTTCCCTCCAACGTCCGGCCAGCGTTAGTTCGTCGCATTTTATTTTCCCACATACGCGATTTCATTTTCCTGCTAGCAACTCATTCCGCGAGCTACTCGATGAGCTCGTAAGTCGAGTGGAGGGTTGTTCGAGCTCGAAATTGTGTTCCAGCTCGACTCGCGAGCTCGATAAGCTTGAATCGTCAAGCCTATTACCGAGTCGAGGTCGAGCTAGCTCACGAGTCGGCTTGACTCGGTTGCACCCCTAATCGATATAGGTATATCCATTTTCATTTCCAATTTTTTTCATTTATCGTGCACAGATGTGTTGTGTCCCCTGTCAGTATCATAAGGAGATGAATTCCTGTATTTGCATGCATATACTTTTTCTTTTAAGTACTTTCCATTTCATATTATAATTCATTTTATTTCATTTCATATATATATTGTAATATAAAACAGGTTGTTTGATTTTCCTCATTTTAATATAAAACAGTCCCTTTAAAATAAAACAAGTATTGAAGAATATAATGAGAGATTGGATGTATGAAGCTCAAGGAGTAATCATAGAAGGAGATAATCACAACATTATTAAAATTCTTCAATTAAATTTGAAGAGTTGGAAGAATAAAGGAAGAATTGAAGAGGATCTTGCATTCATTCAAGACTTTAACAAGGTTTTTTTTTCTTATTCAAATAGATTTTGTAACAAATTAGCTGATTTTTGTGCTAATTTGGGTTGCCAAAAAAGGTTTATTTGGGAAGAACTCAATAACGTTGATATCCCACATTCTTTCTTCATTATATTGAAGGAGGAATGTGATGGATTAGGGTTGGGCTGAGTTTTATTTTGGTTTGTATTTTATTTGCTTTTATTTTTAATGCATCTTCGCATTTTATTCAAAAAAATAAAAAAATAAAACAAGTATATATAGAAATTATAGTGTTAGTCAATGTTTTAAATCAATAATAAAATTGTACTTGCTGCAAAATAAAATATAATCACCCACATTTTCCTTTTAAATGTGGAAATTCTCCTTCAGGGTTTTTGAATTTTTATAGTACAATCTATCTATTAAGGATGTAAATTTGTCACTTTATGTAGATAATTAAGAATTGAATTTACATTAAATTTCAGTAACACAATTAACGCTTATCTATTTTCTTATTATTTGGTTTTTATTTCTATTAAGTTTCTTCCTTTACCTCTTCCCCTCACACTTTCCTCCCTACTTGTATGGTCAGCTTGGATATATGATATCTTGAAGGAGATGATTGGCACCAGTGAATTACGTTTGGTATCATTGCTTAGAATTCTAGGCGTGAAGTCACATCTTATTTCTGCTTGCTGTGCAATAATTTATTTGATTGGCAAAAAATATCTATGGGATGGCCTTTTATACCTGTTTGAGTTTCTCCTATAATCGTTTTTTTGGTTATGGGTGTGGAGGAATGCGTAAGCACCTTACAATAATCTTTTGGTGAAAAAATGATTTGTAGTATGGGGTGTCATTCTGCACTTTTTTGTGCTAAACCTCGTTTCTTTGACAATTTTTTTACTGCTGTATGCTCCCCGTTGAGTTGGTTTTTCTTTTTGACCGGTTAGCTAGATGGGCAATTCTACAGTTCTTTCTTGATTATGAGAAAAAATTACTGGATTCGGAAAGGTAAAAGTTACGTTTGAATGTTTTCTTATTTATGAGATGCACATAAAGAACCATAGAAAGGAAAATAACAGTTTGTATTGTTTGAATTTTATCATTATTTGTGGAACTTCTTTAACTTAGATTTTGCTCAACTACTCCAAAACATAATTCTGTGTTGTTCTGCTTGTAATTCAACTTATGAAGAGCTAATCCAACTAACTTTTCAGGATTATATGGAAGATTATGAAGTTATGGTTCCTTTTCAGTCTCTTGGAGCTCTTGGTTGCAAGGTTGATGCTATCTGCCCTAATAAGAATGCGGGTGATATATGTCCAACTGCCATTCATGATTTTGAAGGCGACCAGACATATAGTGAAAAGCCTGGTCATAACTTCACGTTGAATGAGCAGTTTGATTCTGTGGATATCTCTAGCTATGATGCTCTTGTAATACCAGGAGGCCGTGCCCCAGAATATCTAGCATTGGATGAGAAGGTTATTGATTTAGTGAAGCACTTCATGGATAGTAAAAAGCCAGTTGCATCTATCTGCCATGGCCAACAAATATTATCTGCTGCTGGAGTTCTTAAGGTGATTTCAATAAGCTTTAAGGCCCAAAATCATAATGCAGATAACCTAAGCATTACTTGCCTGCTCTCTTTTTTTCAACTGGATCCCATCCTACTAAATCTTTTATTAGAAAATTCGCTAATTGATTTCTTTTGGGGCTGTTTGGTATGCGAATTTAGGCTGGATTTTAGGCGGATTTGAGGCAAATTCCAGCCAAACGGCCTAAAATGCAAAACCAAATCTCACGGAAAATCAAAGCCTCCGTCGACGGAAAATTCCGCCTTTTCGTAGTAAATACCGGATTTCGAAAATCCTCTCGTTCGGCGGATTTCCGAAATCCTCTGGCTCTATTGGTGCGGGAAGGAAGAAAGTCTACCCAAATCTTTCAACCTTCTTAAATCCTGAATGGAATAGCCAAACAGTCATATAGGATTTATCATGAATGTTACCAAACATTTTTTTAGGATTTAACCCCCTTAGGATTTCGTAAATCCTGATTTGGAGGATTTACGAAATCCTACTTAAATGAAATCCTAGATTCTACCAAATAGCCCCTTTATATTTCCGTTCACTTGGCCTCTCAACATTCATGTTTCTTGTATCCTTTTTAAAAGTTACCAGCAACGCTTGTAACCATTACTCTTCTCTCAGGGAAGAAAATGCACAGCATACCCTGCCGTAAAGCTGAATGTTGTGCTAGGTGGAGGAACATGGCTGGAACCAGATCCAATTCACCGCTGCTATACAGATGAAAATTTAGTGACTGGAGCTGCTTGGCCTGGGCATCCGGAGTTTATTTCTCAGCTGATGGTATTACTTGGTATCACAGTCTCATTCTGAATTAGCAAAGTTAATGGTATTTGTCTACTTAATGGAAAGAAGAAGTTAGAGGGAAGGCCACTGTCATCCTTCTTTTTTTGTCGTGAGAGAATGCGTCATTTTGCTGCAGGTAAGCTTGTCATAACGTTATGGTTATTTTCCTTGCTTCTTGCTGTGACATCTATATAATGTAACTGTTAGTGGTATAGTTTATAGTTGTGAAGGTACTGTTATGTGGTGGTTTTTTTCAAGTCATGCAGGCTTGTTAGTCCTTGGCACAAGCTTATAGTCAGGGGCGGATCTACCTAAAGCCCGAGGGGGTATTTAGGTAATTTCATGTTGGATCGGAAGTTATGCCATTTTGATCAGAAGCAATGACGGGAGCTCGCTCGTTGTAAAGGTAACTTTCTCCCTTTCACGGGCTTCTCCGGCCGAAATCCCGATAAATTCGTTGAATCGAAGGATTTCATAATTCTGGGATTTACCACGAAAAGAGGGAATTTTTTGTCAACAACAGCTTAAATTTACTGTGAGATTTGGGTTTGCATTTTTGGCCGTTTGGGTTGATTTTGATCAAATATGCTCGAAATCCGGACTACATCTTGCATCCAAATAGCCCCTTAGAGATAGGATACGAACCGAGCATATTTGTGAAAAGGTTGGGGTAGCTTAGGTGACACATAAGATTATAGAGAGTCGCCTTAGATGGTTTGGTCATGTAAAACGGTGGCCTTCCGATGACCTTATTAGAAGAGTAGATGTATTAGATTTGGCCTATGTTAATAAAAGTAGAGGTAGACCGTAAAAAAACTTGGTTAAAAAATATTAGAAATGGCATTTTCTTTATTAAGATTTAAATGAGATTTTGACTCTAAATAGAACACAATGGAAAAAAAAAGATTTATGTAGGTGATGTAGTGGGATAAAGGCTTGATGATGATGTTATTGTTGCTGTATAAAATGCTCTATTTTGAATATTTTAGCTTTAATAAGTAAAGTTTTAATAAGTTGGTTTTATTTATGTTAAGTTTTGAATACTTCTTTGTTAAGAATTGGTAAACTTGAGATCCATTATAATCCCCAAAAGTCTCAAAATGATATTTTGAAGCATAACTAGAATATTACCTTAGGTGATAAAAGTTGGAAAACATGAATAACATACATGTGTATCATCCTCTATATTGTGATATATCAGTATTTATGATCATGTTTAGCATCTTTTGTATCTATTAACTCTGTAAAGTTTTACATATTTACATATGCATTTATGATCATATGATAAATATTTTGATGTGAGAACTGATAAAGTGCACTATAAATTCTGTAATGTGACCTTAACTTTATATTATGTTTTGTTGTATTCTATTTTGTTTTGTTTTAAGTTCTGGTCCTATCTGCTTTATGTAGGTGTGAGAGGTTTAAAGGAGATATAAGTGGAAATATAGTCATAAGGAGATTAAGGAGGATCTCCTTCACCTAGAGAAGATAGACTATGGGAGGGACAAGTAAATGTTAAGTTATAAGCAAACATCGAGATACAAATATCATTTTTCTTATGTCTCGTATTCTATTCATAAAATGAATTTTCTGATAAATAGAAGCTCAACATAAAAAAAGGAATTTCTAAAAGCAAGTATATTCTATTACTATTTTACACTAGGTACTTAATGGGTATTTAACAACCAACCTGAATCAAAAATCTCTCTCATCACTAGAAGAGAAAATTAACAATATAATGGCTTGCTTCTATGAGAAACCTAAAACCAGATGTAAAATCATCACAAAATGATGATAAAATATCTGTATATTATTTTATCTTAATTCTAATATACTTTCTTAAAATTTATCTTGGAACATTATTTGTTAAAACAATCCTTAAAAAAAAAAAATCAGAGTGATCGAAGCACGAATTTTTTAGCAACAATCATAGCAAGAGAAAATGCACGGTGTATAATCGCTTCCATTCAGTCAAACTCATCTCAAAATTAAAAAAAAAAAATTATTTTTTTTTTCTTTGAAAAACCATACAAATGTATTTATTGATGCAAATTTTTATTGATGGCTGCAAATTTAAAAATTTTACAACTCTTTTAGTTGCATATTGTTATTTAATATATAAAAATTTAAAATCAAATTTTAATATTTAATTCAGTCTCGAGGCCACAAGTCAGGCTCATTCAAATCGAACTGGAGTTTGAACTTGAGCTCATATTTTGATAAATTCAACTCGTGAGTTCATAACCCATTGGCCAGTAGAGTTTGAACCAACTCATAGGCCAACTTGACTCTTTTACAACCCCTATTGCCCATTGTATCTTTCTATATTGTTATCCATTGCCTAATATAAACATTATACCCCTTCTCTAGTTGCGTTGTAGGAAAACCTGAATGGCTGAATATTATAAAGAAGTTGCAATTATCTATGATGCCTCATTTCTCATGTTCATGATGATCATTTGCAAATTTTTCAATGATGAATAACCATTTGTATGGATTCAAACCAAATTTTTAGAAGAGATCGACACCATTACTTAGATCATTGATCTTAATAAGAAACCAAGGTAGCTGTAGACCCTTCAATCGATTAGGTAAGATATAAAACTTAACAACAGGCTTGGTTTGAGTCGGCTCAAAAAATCAACTTGAAAATAAACTCAAGCCAAAACCTAAATCTTGAGTTCAGGTTGACTTGTTAGAACTTGACACAATTTTTGGCTTGAGTAGGTTTAAAATTGAATATATGAAATGTAATTTTATTAGTAATAGACATAGTGAGAAGATTGTGACTTTTGGACGATCAAGTCATTAATAAGAGTACATGTTTTAGATATCTTTGATTTATTGTTCAGAGTGATGTGAAATAGATGTGGATATATTATCAACAGAATTCAAATTGGATGGTTGAAGTGGAAGAATGCATTAGGCTTGCTGTGTGATAGAAAAGTTCTCCTCAAAGTTAAGGGAAAATTCTATAAGATGGTGGTGAGAATTGCAATGCTTTATGGTACCGAATGTTGGCCATTAAAAGAGAATCATAATACTAAGTTAAGTGTTGCAAAGATGAGGATGGTCAGGCGGATGAGTGGCTTTACCCTTAGAGATAGGATACGAAATGAGCATATATGAAAAGGTTGAAGTAGCTCCAATGAAAAATAAGATTAGAAAGAGTCACCTTAGATGATTTGGTCACATAAAATGGTGACCTTCCAATGACCCGGTTAGGAAAGTAGAGGTATTAGATTGACTTTTATGTTAAGAAAGGTAGATAAATACCTAAAAAGACTTGGTTAGAAAATATTAAAATTGATCTTTCTTTATTAAATTTAAACACGAATTTGACTTTAGACAGGACATAATGAAGATAAAAGATTTATGTAGCCGACCTCATGTAATGGGACAAATGCTTGATTAGGGGTGTCAATTCGGGTCAACGGGTCAGGTTCGGGTCGAACCCGGAACTGACCCGACACTGTTCGGGTCAACCCGAACCCGACCCGTTTTTAAAAACGGGTCAGGTTTCTGGACCCGAACCCGACCCGATTTGGGTCCGGGTCAACCCGATCCGACACGAATGACCCGGGATTGACCCAAAATTGCTAATTTTCGGGTCAAAAATCAGGTCAAACTCGGGTTTTCGGGTCAAACTCGGGTCAATCTCGGGTTTTCGGGTCAAAAATGATTTTTCGTGTCACTTTCGGGTCAATTTCGGGTTGGCGGGTCAACCCGAACCCGGCCCGATTTTTAAAACGGGTTGATTTCATGAACCCGAACCCGACCCGTTTCGGGTTTGGGTTGACCCAAACCCGGATTTTTCTGGGTTGGGTTCGGGTCGGGTTTCGTGTCGTATCAAAAATTGACACCCCTAGACTTGATGTTGCTGTTGTTGTTGTGGTATTTTGTTATAAGTTGACATCGGTTACCTCATTCCAATATGATAAACTGAAAGTATCTAATTCAAATTCAGACTAGAATGTTCTGAAGCATTTAAAAAAAAAAATAGTACAAATACAATGCTATCTGGAGATAACACTATAAGGCCCAAAAACTTCAAATTGGTTAGAGACTGAAAGGCTATAAACCACCTTCCAAGAGTTAGAAGTCAGCTGCAAGCTTCCGAGGTTTCTAAGGCGCTTTACAATAAGCGAGATGTCAGCTTGTTTCTCACTTCATAAGGATTCATGACTTTGGGGACAGCTTATGCAGAGGAGTAAGCGGTTGTCTTGTTTGCTCTTCAGAATTGAACTCAATCTGTCGCCCAAAAGAGCTGCCCTTCATGAGGCATGATTTGTGCTTTCCCTATAAAAAAAATGGAATGTTTATAAAATCCATAACCTGCTTCGGAACAAATATTAACAAAATTCTGGGAAGATTATATTCAGCATTAGAAGACTATTAATAAAACAAATTAAATCCAACGGCAAAATGACTTGAGGAAAGAAACCAAAGCTTAGGTAGTGAATATAAGCCGAGCCTGGGCAAGATTGTTCAGCTTATTTATTGAATAAATTAAATATAAACTATCCATTTCAAATATATATAAAGAAAGAGAGGGAGAGAGAACTATTGCTTTAAGAGAATAAGGTTTTATTTGGAAAGGTTTTGTTACTGCTTCTTTAAATAGTTTTTTATACAAATATTTTAATTTTTTGTATTTAAAAACTGTGAAACAGTAAGAAAGCCATCTCAAACAATGTCTAAGGCTTTGTTTGAGACGACGTTTTTTTCTGTTTTTTAAAGCGGCTTTCAAGTAAGAAAGCCGCCTCAAACGAAGCATAAGTGTTCTTATCATATATTTTATAGCATTCATTCACATCTTTGAATGATTGAGATTTAAAATAGAGGGTTTAACAATTAAAATATGATATATATAAAAAAAAGAATGAACTACTTTAACTCTCAAATATTAAAAAAATGTAGATGAATGAGCTAAGATGGGCAAGGATAAAAGCTCCTATTCTTCTAAAAAGAAAACAGTCTTTAACTCCTCAGATGCAGATGAATGAAAAAACTACTTTCTACTACTAAAAACTATATAATATACTTCTAAAAAACGTGTGTTTAGGTTTCGTTTGGGACGATTTTTTTACTACTTAAAGCAGCTTTCGAGTACAAAAATTTTAACTTTTATACTAGAAAATTATTTTAAGAAACAGTAAAAAAACCCATCCCAAACAAAGCCTTATTTTCTATAATACTTAAAAGACGTAATATAAAAATCACGAACTTGTTTTCATGTGGTAGTAAGTCATCAATCCAAAACTTGGCGAAGCATCTAATGGTCATTGATTGGGCTTGCTTTTTGGGTTTGAGTCAATTATAACTGAGCTTAACATAAACTAAATTCTTTCGCTCACTAAAAAACTTGATAAGCCAAACAAAGCCCTGACTAGTTCATGGTCAGCTTCTACTCACCCTAGAAGAAGATGCACTAGCAGATAGCTTGCGGTCAGATCTATGTCGTTGTGTCTCTCTTTGCAGACGCAATAGCAGTCGCTTATTCTCTTCATCCAATAATCTGTTGTCCTCAAATAGCACTTTCACCTTCACAAATAAATGAGGTGGTGAGAGACAGAATTATGAGAAATATAAAAACAATCAAATCCCCGCACCTCCTCTTCAGCTCTCTGCAGATTTATCCGAAGGTTCTCCTTATCTTCTTTCAAGGATTGTACTTCAGCAGCTAATACCTGAACCTGCAATTGCGAATAAATAATCAATTTTTAGAAATTACAGGGAAAGATACAACAATAAGCAAAACCAAAGCTAAGAACCTGTCTTAAATGTTAAAATGTTAAGCAAAACCAAGATACCAAAGGCTGTTTTTTCAAAATTTTGGCAGGAGTCGAAAAATTCTAAATTATTTAAGTATTAATTGACTATTCAAAAATCTAATGTGAAAGTCATGTATAACAAACAATGCAACACAATTTGCATATCATTTGTGTTAGGTTGAGGAGATGCATGCAATTCTAGTTCTTGTTTATGTTTGTTTTAGTGTAGAGAAATAATAAAAAAAGGATTTATTTTATATATTTAATTTATAAATTAAAATTATAAATCATCTAAACCCTAACTTTTTAGGCTTGCATCTCTTACAAATAATGTATGCATGAATTACTCAAATAAACTTCTATAATTCTAATCATTCAAATTTAAAAGAAATGTGTACTTAAGCTTCGTAAGTATAGACTCATATTTCACCTATTATATGTACATATCGTAGGTCAACCAGAAGACACCAGCCTATTCTGAACTTGACTAAGCTCATTATCCTTTTTTTCAGATGAGTATCTTTTAGCCATTTTATTTCAAATAGGGGGAGGTAAATTCTTTAAAGGCTATAGAGAAAATTCCTTATTCTATCAAATTGGATCCATAACAAAGTTTAAATCAATGAGAATTTTGAAATAAGAGAATTTTACATATATCAATTTACATGCTTGTATGTCAATCATTTGAGCCACTAATTGTCATGCTAAGACTTTCTAAGGTTCTCAAAAGACGATGCCCAATTCACGAGAAATAATGCTTTACACCTCAAATTTTTCCATGTCAATTATAGATCTTGATTAAAATAAGTTCTAGATTTTTTATCTTGTTTGAATAATCTATGCCAATTTCTATAATAAAAATTCATATCATACATGCACATCTCAATTTCCATTTTAATATGCATACCTTAGAATGTATCAATGAAAGATGCATAAATTCCATCTAACTGTTAATAATACATTTTTATTTAACTCAAATTAAATGAATAGAGACATATTTTAGAAAATATCATCCTTAGCAGTAAGCTTATGAAAGATTTCAATAAAACTGTAATTTTTGAATGCGTGTTTGCTAAGATTTTTCATAAGTTCCATTTTTTAACCTTTTTGTGCAACAGAACTTTTCCACACAACAATGACTTAACTATTATCAAACGTCTAGAAATCTAATCTATTGTTTGAAATCACAATATTTAACAAAAATCCTTATCAAATGATGCCTTATAAAACATGAAGTAACTAATTCACAAACTTTAAACTTTGCTGCAAAAACAGAACTAAACCCTAAATTTAAGGTTCATTCAAATAGTCTAAACTCTAAAGTTTCTAAATAAAAACTAAAAATAAAAAATCTTAAGTTTCTAAATAAAGTCCAATTGACATCCTTTGTACGAAAACTATTAGGCGAAATTATTACATACGGTCACCGGACGCTGTCTAGATGCCAATTAGGATGCGCCATGTCACCAATTTACTGTGTACCATTATGCATCGGGTGACATGGCACATTCTGATTGGCCTCTGACGGTCCGGTGACCACACGTAATAACTTCTCAACTATTAGAATTGCTGCAATTGTAGTTAGGAATATCATCTTTACCCATTTTAACCATAAAAGATATGCTTGATGCATGTTAGCATAGATTACAATCAACATTGCCTCCCTAGAACTCTTTGCATGTGCCATGAAACTTCCAGACAAGAAACAAACAAAAGCATAAAATCAGCCAAGGCAGATACTAATTTTTTTATTTTTTTATTTTTATGCTTGCGAAGGCAGATACTAATATGAATTACTAAATGGAACTGATTTAGGATATTTGATTGTATAAAGCAGAGAGGACTTACCGAGAAGTTATCATGTAGCTGAGCGCGAAGCTCATTGTTCTCCTTCTCCAATTCATCACAGGATTCCATGGCCTTCTCTAAATCTCGTTCAAACAGCACGCATTCTCTTTCCAGCTTAACACAGTAATTCTCCATTTCAGCACACTTTGCAGCCATCATGTCCTTATCCTGTATGCAATTCCTTAAACCCTGGGCATTCATACTCGCCTCTTCCTGTCGCAATATACACAAAATTCCCTAATGTAATAAGAAAAACACTAGAAAGGTACAAAGATTGGGTGAAAGTAGCAAAATTAAAGAAGAAATAAATTGGCCGGCGAAAATTAAGAGAACGAACCTTGCAAAGCTGAAGCCGCTTATGAGACTCCTTGAGTTGGTCCTGCAAGAAGAAGATCTGATCTTGGAGGCGGTGACGCTCGTCCTCTGAAGCGAGAAGCTTCAGCCTGAGAGTTTTCTCCGATATTGGGAGGCCTAGCGAACCCTCGATGGATTCTCTGATGTAATCGTCGGTCTCCTGGGGCATATCCATCGACTGGAACAACATAATAAAAAACTCGGAACCCTATAGATTACACCAAAAGAATTAAGAATTATTGTCGCTAGTATAAAAACCCTACAAATCGAAAACCAATAGAGCGGGTCGATGGACAGAGGCAAAACCCCAAGTCACCAAGAAGTTGGAGTACTGGACTGTAAGTGAGATCAACAGATTTTTCAGCTTCTCAAAAACCCTAGGAGTGGACGCGAGCGAGAGAGAGAGAGAGAGAGGAGAGAGATTTCAAATTGTGAAGCGAGCCGTTGGAACTGGAGAAAATTGTGACGATTGATGGCTAAATCTACACGTGACAACCTTTTTTAAAGATTACCTGTGGCTGTTTGGTTATATAATTTGAAATCATTTTATATTAGATTGGAAGAAATTAAATAGAATGTATTTTTTAAGGAATTTAAAATTTTAAAAAAAATTATATAAAAATATTCTGATAAAATAATTATTATTATGAGATTCAAAGCTCTTAGATCTATATTGAGATATGTGTAATATATAAATAATTTATTTTATGCCTTTCTTAAAGAAAATTCAAAAATTCTAGTCTATCCCAATCAAAGATTTTATAAGCATATCTTAATCAAATTATTTTCCCTTTGAAAATCGATATATAAGTAATTTTTTATTTTATTTAAAATTTGTTTGATTTTGGCAAATTCAAAATACATGGCATGTGTTAACGATGGCAATATTCCGATGACAGATATCGAGTACTTTTCTAATGGGGGTTATTGAACGGTGTTACAATGATGGCGGTAAAGTGATGCACTAAAAGAAGAGGTTAAGTTATAGTTTGACAATGAACATGGTGCTCTAATGGAGCTTTGATATTCTTAGAGCCTCTAAGCTTCTTGAATATCAAGCCCTCTAAACTCTCTTGAATCTCAAACCTAAATCCAAGCTTTTCCCCTTTCATGAAGAGAGTGAGGGCTTATTTATACATTTTTTAGAGTTATATGCCTTGTAAATGTAATAGCACATATTTTGACCAGCTAAATAAATTTTTCATGAGTCATTATAAGTTCAAATTACAAATCATTTCATCATAACATATATATTATAGTGATTTAATTACATTATTAAGATAAAAAAATAATTCTTTTAAATTAGATTATGAAGCATGATAGAAAATATGAAGAAAATTCATAACACTTTATCAGATAGCTTGTATTGATTCTCTTGATCAAAGAGCACATGTTCAACAACTAAGTGCCTTAATATTATTGAAATTAAGTGATTTTTGGGCTCGTTGGATTGGTCTCTCGAGATGCTTGAATTAATTATAAGCATGCAAGATTTGGAAATAGTTTCGACCAAACAAATGTCATGAAGTTTTCAATTACGCTTCAATTATCTGATATGGGTTCATTTGGAATAGAATTAGACCACTTTTGATATCATTGAATTTGTCTATTATGCAAATCCTGTATTTAATTGTGGAAGTTTCAATTCACATCTTGATTTATACCTCATTAAGGTGATTTTCGATGGCTTATCAACATTCAATTTATGCAATATTTCTCAAAAATAAAGAGCCTAAGAAAAAAAATACTCCTGAATTATGGATATAAGAATAAAATATTTATTTTAAATGTGAATTAATTTTTCAAAGATTGTAACACCATAAGAAAAACAATAGAAAATTAATAAAAGATAAGGTACATAAAAATTATATGAAACTCATTTAAATCCTATCTAGAACTATTCACTTTTATTTATTTTATAAAGTTTTTATCTTCTATGAAGACTTGTCAATATAAATCTCAATAAAAAATGTGCAGAAATAGGACTAGAGCGGTCAACATTTGACCCGACTCGAAAACCCGACCCGAAAATTTCAGGTTCGGGTCAACCCGAACCGGGTCGGGTTCGGGTTAGAGATTTCGACCCGTTTGTAAAACCAGGTCGGGTTTGGGTTGACTCGGAAATCCGAAATCGACCCGGTTTGACCCGTTTTTAATTAATTTAATAAGATTTTAAAGGATTTTTATGAAATAAATAAATGATATTTCAAAAAATTATAAACATTGTTGCCCAAATTAAATTAATCTTGATTTATTTTAAATTAATTGAAATAAATCTTACCTTAATTTAATTTAGATTTAAATAAATTGAATTAAATAAAAAAATTTAATAAAATATACCCGAAGCGGATCGGGTTCGGGTTGACCCGGACTCAAAGCGGGTCAGGTTCAGATTCGAAAAATTAACCCGTTTGCAAAAACGGGTCGGGTTCGGGTCTGGTTCATATCTACCACCATGCAGAATTCCTTATGAATGTCCTAATTCTAAGTTTTTTACTGTTTGTAATTAAATTATTCATTGAAATGAATAAAAGAATTAATCTTAGTTTGAGTAACTTTTTATTACTTTCTAAAACAATTTTCTAATACAAATTTTTTTTGAAATAAATATTTTTGCACTCAAAAACTATTTTAAAAATTTATAAAAAAACAGTCCCAACCAAAGACTTTTATGCAAGATTTTAAAGATGGAAAAGCAAGCAATTCATCAGTGCAGTAGTGAAAATACTTAGTCTCATCAAACAGGAATTTTTATCATAGTTTATGGTAATGCAACAAGCCTTGCTTTGTGATTTACAAGGTTAAAGACACAAAAGTTAAATTAAACGAGCCCACGAGCTGAGATCCAATTAGAGCTGCTTACTAAACAAGCCACCTCATTTATATGAGATCTTATAATATAAAGGAAATAAAAAAAAATAAACTTGGACCTCATGAGCTGCTGGTCAAGGGCTATTATTCTGTGCGGATGCCAGACGGTTCTCCCGCTCGGTTACACTTAGGTACCGAGCATGATACATTTTGGGATGACGTGACATATTTTTATTGGTCTCCGGACGCCATCCGGACTCCGCACAAAATAAGAAATCGCTCGTCAGAGTCATAACCTGGAGCTTAAGCTTTACTGGCGAGCTCAACCTGAAGTCATTCTAGGGAAAGCTGATCTAGTCCCTACAACCAAAATTCTAGCCCTCTGAATTAATAGAGATTTCCATCTACATATTGTTCTGCAATGCAGGCTGTTAAGGGAATTATATGCAAGAGATGGTTTATTGGAATAGCATCTGCCAGCCATTAATAGATTATATAAAAATTAAAAAGGTCATCAAATCTAAAAAAAGCATAATATACACAACGTACAACTATAACTTAAACAATTTTGCTCCCAAGAGAAACTTGTATCAATATGAACTCCATCTAGCTCCTCATAAGACAAAATTAACTTGCACATTAAGCTTTCTAGACATTGGCAATGTCCACAGTCAAAGATCCAAACCTTCAATCCCACAGCATGGAAATCAAGGAGTTTGATAAACCAGCCTCATCGAACGTTACGTTGCTCTCATATTCGAGAGTTTTGGATGCTCCAGGAATTGCTTCTGTGAAATGGAAAGGACGAGCTACTGCACCCTCAAGTTGAGAAGAGCAAAATGACCATAATAACTGCCAAAATTCAGCAAATGAAACCAAAAAGTTAAGCGAAGAAAGATAGATATAAATTGTAAGATTCAGTAATGTCTCAACCCTTATGGAGTCAGAACGAAGAAAGCTCCGCTGGACTCGGCGTCCATCAGGAAGGCGGATGCCCACTCTACAAAGAAGCTCTCTGTTCCCCTTTGGCTCCTCTGGAAGGGGAGGATATACAGGTTCCTTGTTGGCGCTGCTTTTAGCATCTTCATCAGCTTTTGCTTCTTCATCTACAGAGGACTCCACAGGCACTTTTGATCCTTCCAATGATGCTGCAACTGCCATCAGCAGCTCCTCATCTTCGTCGAGATATTTTTCTGTTGCAGAAAAAAAAAATCTTATGGCATCAAGAATGGCACAGCAGCCGAATAAATCAGAAGGGAACAAATATTATCAAGCCAAATGACTTGGGAGAAAACGATACTAAAGGCTCAGGGTACAAAGGCAAGAAATTGTGGCAGCATTTAATGGCAGAATAGAAGGACAGAAAAATGGGAGCAAGTTTATATATATATATATATATAGAGAGAGAGAGAGAGAGAGAGAGAGAGAGATTTGTGTAGATATGGATATGCACAGCTGGGCTTTGTGTGTGTGGATTAACGAGTGGGATCTAAAAACAAATCCTATGCAATTTAAATGACCAAATCACAAAGAAGATTAAAAAAAAATTCAAAGAAGTCAGAAAAATTAGCCATTTAAGATGTTAAAAAACTTCCCATATTAATATGGTTAATCAACCAAAAATTAAAATTCTTTTGGAAAACTGTTCCATGGATGACAAGGATAGATCATGTGGAACAACATGCTCTAAGAGAAATGGAATAATTAAATTTAAAAAAAAAAACAAATCCAGTCAAAACAATGGCAATAGATATTGAAGCAGTATCCGTAACAAAAGCCTGACCAGGTACTTTCTATTACTTGCCAAGCAAAAGTAAACAAAAATATGAACTAAAAATATCAGAATTAGTAAACCTACAATGGACCTATCGTGGGAAGAAGAGAAGTACAATTGCAATACCTGATATGCTGACCGTAGAATCCTTTGCTCCTTCCCTACGTCTTTTGAGAGGAAGAGACACGTGTTGTTGTTTTGGTCCGCCTTCCATAAATGGTAATAAATCCTAAATAAAAGAAATGTCATTAGAGAAGGAAAAAGGAGAGGTACAATATCAGTCTCAACTATACAAACAATAAGCTTTCCAACACAACATGCTATATCATCGTATGTCTAAACTGAACAATAAGACTGCAATATATCAAAACATTTCAATGTCTCTTACCTCCAAAATACGTTCTGGCTGTACCATGCCAGTCCATGCTCGCATTTTTTGCCCGGTGATAGGATCGATAACCAAAATGGCTGGAATTGAGGATAAGTTATAGTAGGTGCAAACCTTCCGTCCCTCGCTGGTGTCATTATACACCTAGAAATACATTGAGAAGTCCAATGACAGAAAACTTGATGTTTTAAAGTTTAAAAGAAGTTAGAACATCAATTTATACATGGACATCTGATAGGCCGGTTCATCCTAAACCGGCCCAACCGGGACAGGCCGGTTCTTGTCTATAGGAGGCGGGCTAGTCCCGACTCCTCTATGTTTTCCTCCCACAATAGTGGATCCCACTATTCCAATTGAGTTCAAATTAGAAAATGAGGGGGCAGCTAGAGCTTTGGAGGGAGAATTGATTTGGAAAGTTTATGTATTAAATAGCATGAGGTGTTTTAGGGTTCGGGTATGCTTGATTTGATTTTGATTGAAGTTTCTTGGCATCTTGGGCTCTAGACTAACTTGTCTAGAGATTTGGGAAAGAAGATCCTCCTCTCGAATTGAGGATCACTTGTATCTTATTTTCGTGTTTGTTTGGCTTTGATTCTCTTATTGCAGTCCAACGTTTTGGGGCTGATTTCACCCAGATTTTGTATTATTCTCGCTGTTTTCACCAATTAGTGATAGGTTTGCTTGCGAACTCGAGTATTTCCCTTAGGGTTACTTGCAAACTCAAGTATTTCCTATCAACATCAAAAACAACCTCTCTTAAATTTCTCAAAAGAATAACTCTATATCGAGAACGGAAACAGTACTGAAATTGAAAAAATACTATAGAGGCAGTATTTATCAAAATGGAATAGGAGAAATGCTGAAAAAAATGAGAATAATGACAACAGAGAAATATAATATCACACCGAATGTATCTGTTCAACTAAAAAATATAAAGCATTAAAAACCACAAATAAATCATGTCACAATCTTATAAGCTACAGAAGAAGATGAAAGCTTTAAAATTATCAACATCAACATATTGGTAAGAAACAATTAGGAAAATTTACCTGCCAGAATATGAAATTGGTGCGAATTGTTTGTGTTACAGCTTCATTAGACCATGTATCCCGATTAAGCTTTTGCAATTGCAAGGTAACATAGCATCACTTGAATGGACCGGATTACATTTACATAAGACTAATTCAAAGTAAATGAAATAATTTGTTTTCAGAAAATTTTACCATATGAGAGCTAAATTCTTCCGTGGACTGCAGGTTGACTAACAACCACTTGTCCTGAAGAGAGGCCTCAAACTTGGCCTGCATTTTATAAATAAAATATCAGGATCAGTAAGAAACCAGACAACTGAACCAACATATTAAAATTCTTGCAAAAATAAATAAAACTTAATGTATCACAAAAAGAAGAAGAGCTAAAATTGTGCCAATAAATTGATGTCAATAACTCTTAGATTTGTTGATTTGTTAGGGATGGGGCAGTAAGAAATATTTCTTCATGCAGTATCATAATTAAACTAAGCACCAAACACAGCAGACTGATAAACAAAAATGCAGCTGGGAAAAGCATCATTTCAGACAAACAATCCTTATATCAACACTTGTGCGTAAAGCATCCTACATGAACCAAGCAGCAGTCTAGGGTGTAAACGAGTCGAGCCGAGCAGCAGTCTAGGGTGTAAATGCCTAACGCGAGCTTCGTTCGCCTACCAAATTGGGAGCTCGAGTCAAGCTCAAAATGTGGGCTCGAGCTCTGCTAGTACATTAAAGACGCTCACGAGTTCGCTGTAAAAAAATCGATCAGCCGCTGACACGATCACAACGGAAGAAGAAGACGACGACTTGCATTTTTTCAATGAAGGAACCAAGCTTGCAGTTGCGTTTTTTCCTATACATAAAAGACCTGGAGCTTTTTTCTCTCTGGATAAATAATGCTTGCAGCTTAGGGAACATATACTTCATATTTTATATATATATATATTTTTTTTGAATGTGGTTTCTTTAGTAATTATTAAAGTAGTAGCATTTATCAGTTGTAGTTCTGGGGGATTTTTTTATTAGTTGTGATGTTGTAGTCCTTAAATTTTTTTAAACTTGTAAATGTAATAAAAATATTAATATTTAAAAAAAAAACAAAAGAGTAATTCAAGCTAGCTCGTGAGCTTCTGAGTCGAGACTCATCAAACTCAAACTCGAGCTCATTTAACAGACAAGCTTGAGTTTGAGATTGAGCTCGTGGCTCGATAAGCTTGGCTCGCGAGCTCGTTATCGAGTCGAGTTCGAGCTAACTCGGCTCACTTATACCCCAAAGTAGCACCTTCAGTGGGCAACTCCTATGTCAAATTCAGCATGAAGCACAATTTATGTAGCCCTATCACCAGGCCTTCATTTATGTCCGTAAACAAACCAAGCGTTCGACAAGCTACTCAAGGCTTGGCTCGATAAAAGGTCTTCGTAATCGTTTAATTAAGCAATCAAACAAGCTTGAACATTTTCTTATGCTTTAATAAACAAACTTGAACAACTATATATTCGGCTCATTTATGTTCATGAACAACATTGTTAGAAGCTCATGAACAAACTTAATATGAAGCTCGAGAAAAAACTTGTTAGGAGCTCAATTCTTGTTTGATATAGAAATTTAATAAAACTACTATAAATATTTTATGTCTATTATAACTTAAAAATATAATAATAAGTGATTCTAGAACAAGCTTTCTTATAAGAAGAATTATATCTCGTTTGTTTATGAACGAGCTCATTTGGTAGTTCAAAAACATTCACTAGATGTGTTCATGTACAAGCTTATTTTATAGTTCGAAAACCCTAACTAGATATGTTCGTGATAGGCTCATTTGGTACTAAAAAACACTCATTATATATGTTTGTGAAAATGCTCATTTGGTAGTTTGAAACAATCGCTAGAAATATTCGCAAACATGTTTGTTAGTAGGCACGATAAAGCTCTTTCGTTAAGCTGATGAATATTTAGAAGTAGAGCTCGTTTATAACTTGACAAGGTTCGTTTGTTTAAAGCTCAATAAGCATGAAACAAATAGAACATGAATCAAACACAAACTAAACATGTATATTCATTAACTGAAACAAACCAAGCTTAAATACGAGCAGAAAAGCTCGAAACAAGCTTAAATGAACATAAACAAGCTGATAATAAACGAACACAAACATGAACAAGCACATGCTGGACTCGGCTCGGTTCATTTACAGCCCTACCCTCATTAAAAAAAAAAAAGACTTCTTACACAACTTCCCAGTCCTAGGCATATAAAAGGATGTAGCAATACTGGCGTTGTCATCAACCCGATCATTTGAATGCCAACCTATTTATTATATACCGTGGTCTATGATCCCTCTCTAGAAAACATCAAATCACAAAATAATTTGTTTTGATGATAATACAAAAAGTTGTAAAATCAAGGCCATTGATGTTAATTTGAAAATATGAACTTTATCATGAAAATTGATTGTTTTTTTTTTTTTGGAGAATTGCATACGTGCCAATGAAATCATGCATATCTACAAATCTAGCAGACTTGCACCCAGCCTTAAAAAAAATGAACTATCGAGCTCAAGCAATTGGGCATACTTCAACAAAACTATTTGGAATTTAAGAAAATAAAAAAATAAGTGCTAAATTTTTTTGTGAATTTTGATATAGATAAGAATTAAGAAATTATATAAATGTCCTTCATCAAAAACACTTTTTTAAAACAATTATCATATCAAAACTCAATTAATTCTACACAAAATAAGATACACGAACAGTAATCAATTTGATTTGAATGCTTGTACACATTTAATTTCATAAATCATTGATGCCACTAATTGGACCAATAGAAAGAAATTTGCTGTGCTTGTAGCACAGTTTAATCATAGAAAAAGAATGCAGAATAATGTGTCCTCTATTTTCCATGATATGGATTAAAATGACTTTTCATCAGCATGTTTAAAAAAACAATTGAAATATAATCGTGTTTAAATGAATATGAAAAAAAAAAATAATAGCCAATATATAGACATCATAAATCATCATATTAGCCTTATTCCAAAAAATTGCAACCGTAGCACTATAATCCAGCCATGTAAATCCAACTTCCCTCCCAAGTCGTAAGACTAAGCTATCCAAAGCAAAATCTTAGCCAGCAGCCACAAGACTGACGTCAAGCCCATCTATATTTCATCATACATGTCTTAATCACTATCATATGGTCATTTACATTCATTATAGCCTGTATCAAAATTAATGGGCTTTACTTCAGCCAATCCAAGCCACTCTTTCCCTCTCTTCTCCTGGCAATGTGAATAGCACGTATCAAAATTAATGGGCTTTACTTACTCCAAAGTCCAAACCACACTGTTTTCTCCTGGAAATGAGAATAGCACGATCCTCCCCCTTCCCCAACCTCATAAATTCCCTTGAAATAAGCTATCAGAAGTGCAACCCCAGCCCAAATGAAAAAGAAGAAAAAATTCCAAAACAAAGTATCTGCAATGACAAATAAAAGAAAACAACAGTGCAAAAATTAACAAAATAATCTGCAAGTAACACTATATTCTACTGATGATTCTTATCCCAAACTAAAAAGGATTTGTTAGAGCCTAAGAGAAAAAGAAATGAGTGTCAGTTAGAAACCTTCACTCATTCAAGAAAACTAACAAAAAATTCTACAGAAATCATTGCAAGTTCAGACACAAACTCAAGGAATTTTCCATCGCATGGGCAGTGGGGAGAATAAAATCAGTTATCATTCTGAATCTAAACAATTTACATTATCTTCAGTTAAAAAAAGAGGTATGTATTTGACCAGATGATATGACTAAAATCATAGAGCCATAAGAAATTTCATTAAAGATGCTTCTATAACTGACATTGCAGCTGCTAAAAAGTAACTAAAAAGACAATGAAAACTTGTAACAAGATAGATTATACCTTATCAAATGATCCATTATACATTAAAGCAAAAGGAGGGCGGTATAGAGAAGCAAGATTATCACGGCCCCCATTTGCTGTTGATGCAGTATTTTGTTCAGACTCCCAAACCGCAGGCCTTCTTGACTCCTCTTCAAAGTTTCGAAAAGCAACCACAGAACTAGGTTGTTGTCTGAAATGTCAAAACAAAGAATTTTGAAAAGTATGCTAATGAATTTCTGGATAGGTTGTTGGAAAGAAAAACATAACTATTGCATATAATTAAGTTATCGACACTGAAAAAAAAAAAACAATTGAAACAAGAAATAGGCACTGTAAAATATAGAAAACTAAGATGAACAATCTCTCCCACTAAAATAGCCATTGAATGAACTAAAAACAAAAACAAACAAGGTATGTGAAAAAGGTAAAATAAACTAAAAAAGCAGAACAATAGAAATATTTTCATCATATCATAAAGATTTCAATTCACCATTAGAAGCAAAATAGAAACTTTATTTATCTAACAATATCGTATCAAGAGAAGTTCTTTTTTTATCGTATCAAGATAAGTTCTTTTTTTTATTTATCTAACAACATCAAATCAAGCAAGCTGCAGTGCTCATCCAACTCTAATAGCACGTAAGAGTTTGTTCTGTGCGGAAGTCCTTCAGCTTCTGCATCTCAGGAGTCTGTTCTGCAGTTTTGACTATTGTGTAGAGTTAAATAAAAAATGCCAATAACTTTTACTCAAAATTATAATTGTATTTATCATGGTTTTAAAACCCGGTCCATACCAGCCAATTCAACAAATTCAACTATGAACCGGTCAGATTGTCAATTCGATCCATCTCAAAAATCAGTTTTACATTAAATCGGACTAAACCGGCAAGAACCGTTGGTTCAACCATCAAACCAATCCCAATTTATTAAAACGGACTGGCCCAAGTGTTTTTATATTTAAATAATTAGATAAACTAATTTAATGATTTTAGATTAAAATTTAATAAATTAATTTAAATTTAATCTATTCAAACTTTTAAATGAGTTTTCAATACAAGTAATTATTATTTACCAAAAAGCACCAACCAAGCATTCTTGCATAGTCCCATCACTCCATGTGAGTTCCTAACACATGCAAAATCAAAATGAAGAACATTTCATCTTCGTTTTATCAGCGGGAGCGGGACGAGCAATTTGCGGACTGTTTCGGCGCCGATCTACAAGGATTTCAGCGGAATTTGAGGATGTGAACGGCGTCGGTACATAACAGGTACAAGGTAATTTATTTTTTTTGATTGGTTTTTTATTTTAATTATTATTGCTAATTATAATATAATTATTATTATTATTTTAAAATAACAAAATAATAAGAGAGGAATTTTCATTTTAGCCTCGATTTGCATGTCGTCGCCTTGAAATCTTCACTGATTTTCTTGCACATAATTAATTTTAGATGACTTAGATGTTCTGGACACAACCGAGAAGTCCATTTTACAATCGGATGTCGTTTGGGCAGTGTCACGCAATATTTTCAAATGTTGATCATCGATTTCGACCGTTTTAGCCTGATTTGGCTGCGAGGGGCTCCCTCGTATGTAAATTCGATGCTCCGATCGCAACAACACAGTTCGTTTGGTGATCGGAGGTCATTTGCCCTTTTAAGTGATGCATAGCACTCGTTGGTAGTCACTCGCGTTGCTGATTTCACTTCTTTTCACCCGTTTCTTAATGTATGGGTCAACAAATATGAACAATACAACTTAGATATGATTATCACTTGAGCAAGTTTGTTATGGGTGCAAGTTGGCATGACACTATGCAAGGATTTACCATCAGTGCCACTTATTTCATCTATAAACAAAGGATTGTGGCCCTTAAAAAAGATTCTATAATCAAATTCTCCATGGTTATGTTGGTTGGAAAATTTTGTGAGAATGCATATACATATAACTTAATTAAATAATGGGTATCTGGCTCTCATATAATTAATAGATGATTGATTTACCTGATGAGATATATGAATGATAATCCATGTTTGCTTTGGTCTAACCGATCAAGTCAAGCATGAAGCTCAAATCAAGTTTTGCAGCTCGCTAACAATGAAATGGCTTTATTCACTCATCATTTGCTAACCTTATAAGTTGTCAAAGGCATTTACTTGCTTGCTTCCCTTACTCGATGGGAGTAAAAAATTTATCAAGTTGTTACGCCGGTCCAGCATGGACCGGCTCAACCTGGACCGGCCCAGCCGGTCCAAGTCTATGCGAGGCGGAGTCGGGCCTGGGAGCCGGCGGAAGCTTCAAGGGGGGCTGGGGTGGGGTCCACTTGAAATTCAAACATGGTTTAAGTGTTTTTGGAGGGAGAAGGAAGGGTAGAGAAGTCCTTTTGCTTTTATTTTGTATTAGATTGTTTTAATAGGGAGTTATGAGGGGAATTAGGGGGATCTTGATTTTGAATTTCTTGGGAGATCTAGGGTTTGTTGTTCTTGGGCTCTTGGCATTGCCGGAGATCGTTGGAGAGTTTTTCCTTCCTCTCGAATTGAAGGAAAGTTGTATCTTGCAAGTGCTTTTCATCCTTTATTGAAATAAAAGCGTTTGCATCGTTTTTTCTACGTTTCTCCCTACGTTTTCTCTCAGTTTTTTCACTGTTTGAGCTGTGTTCTTGCTGCGGACAGCAGTTTACTTGGCTTAGGTACTTGATTTGGGTTAGGTTTACTTGTGCAAACGAGTATTTCCTATCACAAGTCACTTAGACTAACAAGTTCTACTCAGATATCAGTACTCAAATATTAAACTCGTCTAAGAGACTTCAAAAGTCACTAGCTTAGCTTAACAAAATCAATCTTCCTAATTGACAAGGTTACAGAAGCAACAAAAATAAATAACCAAACAATGAATCTACAACTCAAGTCTCAAGCCAGTTCAACAGACCAAACAACCATAGGTACCATTAAGTGCTAACAACAAATTAGCCATTAGAATCAAATAGAGATCTACATCTGCGCTAAGCAACCTTTAAAAAAGACAAAAATAGAATCAAACCACCACAAGTAACAATTGCTATAGAGAAACATCAACCAACCTAATTGTAGGCTAGAACAAACAGATGGGCGAGGAACTAGTGGTAAAACTAAACTAAACTCAACCAAATGATGGGTAAAGGTCCCTGATATGATGCAAGCCTGCTCTCCCACCTATTGATGGCCCTAAATACTACCCATTCCTTTGCAATTTATTCCAATTAAAAGTGAATTATGTCAACAACATAGAATAATCTTTTAAAAATTACAAAAGTTCAGTGAAAAATATCCAATATGAGAGAATTAGATTCCTGTACATAAGGTAGTCGGAATAAAATATAAAAAAGCTTTCTTAGAAAGCATGAGGGTTGATCTTCAAGAAAAATACTAGATCCAAAGTTCTTTCAAGTTCATGAAGGATGAACAAATTCAAAGGCCAAACCTAACATCTAGGCAATGAACCTAATAACTTATTAATATAAATGTTAACTTACATGACTAAACGAATTGTCCTGTAGTTTGTCATTTCCACGCCTGACATGGATATCCAAACGTATTTGTTGACGGAAATTGACCTAATGTTTATTTTTATATACCTATTAGATAAGCTGTAGTACTCTCATTCCTGAGCCAATGGAATAAAAGGAGCAATTTTAACATTATAAATGGTAATCAAATAGTTATGTGAGTACAAAGAATGCATAAATCCTTTATCAAAGTAATTTGATCCTACAAATCAACCAAATCATCCTGCATTAATGAAAAACATCTTTTCTTTCAGCAAAATGCTTTTTTGGTTGTTAGTGCTGATTGAGCCACATATTGTTATGGCTATAAGGATATGGCTCTTCACAAAACCTTGTCAGTATGCCTACCATAAGTCTGACAATGTGAAGTTTCACGTTTACCTCCCGAAGGTTGATTTGTAACCCTATATCTAGAACTTGAAACTAGCTTTGAAACAAGAGCAGTGGGACTTAGAGGAAGATGTCGTTGAGATCTACTATTGAAAGAGCAAATAGAATAGCGAGCACTGTAAAAAGGACAAAGTAATCCTCAATAGATCCAATCGTTTACCGATAGAATTCATCAGAAAGGTCAGAAGTAATTATCTTTCAGATGATATAACCTGTGATGGCACTATAATAAAGCCTACAGCCAATTGTAGCAACCTAGAAGGAATGCACCATTTTTAGTATCAAACTGCGCTGCAATAAATTTGAAATAAATGCATCCAACAAATATTCAAGAGCTTCTTCCATTAAACAACCCATAAACCATGAAAAAATCACTGCAAAGCAAAAAGCATAAATACCTCAGAAAAGCAGCATCACCATACAAAGTGTCTCTCTTAACAGGCAATGGAGCTCGCACTTCATCAGCAGTAGCTTCCTTGCCATCACCGCTGTATGCAGCAACATTCTCTACTCCACTGCAGCAACAAAAAAATGCAATACATCAGCCGATGCTTGACAAACCGTACGCATGGCATGCACAACATCTATACTTCCATATGGTGAACATTCAGTCTATTAACCACCTAGAATTTTGATCAAATGGAGGCAACTCAGAAGCAGAAGCAGAAGCAAGTCCGGCTCCACCAACATCGTTCCCAACATAGAAAAGCTGAATAGCTTCCTCAAGTTTCCAACTTGTGGCCTGCGGAACAGGCAAAACAAACTTATTAAAACAATCAGCCTCACATTACATGCCCCCATATCCCAATTGATCAACAAAAGCGGAGCTTCCAATAAATCATGAAGCGAAAAGAATAAATGATCCGATCGCGGTGAGGGCAAAAATATAAAAACAGCTGGTGGACCATCGAACCTGCAGGAACTGGATAGCAGTCTCCGCGGTCTGACCGACTGCGATTTCTAAGAAGGAGGAGATTAGCAACTGCCTCTCCGTTGCCGTCGGTAGGCTTTCCATCGTTCGATCCAAGTAATTCTAATCCAGACAAAAGAAACCCTAGGGCAACAAGGAAAAATAGCGCATTATAGAAGAAATCGATGAAAAGGAGAAATCGAAGGGGTAAGATGAGTTCTAGGAAGGGCGGATGAGATTGGATGAGAAGAGGTCTGTCAGAGGAGAGAGAGAGATATATATAGCAGAAGTTAATCCGGCGAGATGCACCGGCGAGAGGTGAAGGTATTTCTATATGACTTCCAAGCGCTTGCGTAGGTTCCAACTTCCAAGCTTTTTATCCCTGCAAGAAAGCCCTGGTTTTTCTTCCAATGGATGGACCAAATTCAGCCCAAATTCAGCCCGGCGAATTCTAGTCCGTCCATTGGCAGTAATGTTCCACTGGATTCGCATAACATGGCACGTGGCGCGTTTTGCAGCCTAGTTCCCAATGTTTACTATAAATAACATTTTGATATAACCTTATTTGATCTAATAAGGTTAATTTAGCTTTTCTTGTAAAAATAATGGGAAATTCATATATATATGTAAATCCCCCATATTTTTACATAAATTTATTATTTTCTAAAATGAATAATAGAATAATCTTTTTATGGTTATAAAATATTTCTATTAAATACTATAAAATTTATAAGGATAAAGATAATTTAATGTCATAATTTGTTAAAAGATATCTTACAAATACATATAATTTTAGTTATTTAATAATAATTGATCTCTTCCAATAAATAATGAAATAATACAATAGGAAAAGATAAGTAAAAATCAATGTGCTTTGAGATACAGTAAGGCAAACCTCGATGTAGATGGGGATGAAGAAATGCTAAAGCAAAGCTAGGTTTTATGATGTATAGTGGATGGGTCTATTATATGGTTATCCTAATTAATAATACTAATCCTAATTGATCATCTTAAGCATAAATTAATCACTAATTTTTTGAATAAATTAAACATTAACTTTCATCTAGATAAATTAAATAAATATTTGCTGTTGTTGTTTGGTATGCTTTAGGCCAAATCCTGCTACCAAACAGCCCTTAACCACCAAAGCAGAAGCAGGAAACAAAACATATTATTGTTTGACTGATTTATTTTAAGTTTGAAGAGAGTAATGTTAAGTTTTATTTGGGACAATTTTCTTATTGCTTCTTAAGATAATTTTTTAGTAAAAAAAATAAAATTTTGTACTAAAAAATTGCTTTAAAAACTATTAATAAAACAACTATTTTACTATTTTTTGTTAATCCCAAGTTTCTATTTTGAAGTTTGAGATAACTTTCTATTGCTTTCTAAAGTAATTTTTTAATAATAAAATTGTTAAACTAGGAATATTTGTACTAAAAAATTGTTTTAGAAAGCAATAAAAAAATTATCCCAAATAAAATCTTTGGAAAGAAAAATGCATCAGGGTAATATGATTTCAGTTAAAATTTCCGTTCAACTTGTAATGTCCAGCAAGAACACTTTTTGGTTCTAGGCAGGAACTTAGAACTGGTGATGCTTTTGTCAGGTTTAATTTCCAAAATGTTGATTAATACACAACAGAAATAAATGAGGAAGTCATAATTATACTATCAAAGCTTCTACTGCAAATCACATAAAGACTAACAGAATTAAAAAAAAAATGGAAAAATAGTAATAGAAGCTTATTTTAGTCACATAAGATCTAATAAATCTTCTTCAGTTCATTCATTTCACAAATCTAAGCCAAAATAATCTTCTTGAATTCATAAATATGATGACTATTTTGAATAATATAGTTGAAATCAAAATGACTGCATATAACTATTTCAAAGATCACTTTGAACAAGTTCAAGGTTATGATTTCTGCAAAAAGAAAATGGTGAATATAAATTATTTAGCACAATCTTTTAGAACATCTGTCGTCATCTTCACCTCTTTTGCGTTTTTCTGGCGGTGACTGATCAGATTCACAGGCAGGGGACGGTCTGATATCATCAGGAGGATTTGATTGATGATTAGTAAGTTTATGAATATCTTCCACCTCCAAAAAAATTTCTTTCATGTGATGCACACTTTCCGTTTCTTTCTGATCTTTCTCTGAGGTTTCATTCTCCATTGGTTCAGATAAACGCTCAGATGGCAAAGGAGCTTTGAGCTTGTCAAACCCGTCCTTTTGTTTCTCAAACATTATTTGTAGGTGTTTCCCTTGTTCTTCAATTTGCAACTGAAGTTTTCTCTGAACCTGTTTGGATAAAAAAAACGGTGAGAAAGGCTAACGAATACCTATCTGCCAAAGATCCTGGCAGTAAATAGGAATCGGCGCATACAAATTGTGCCAAAAAACAGAAAAATGATTTTCTGGAATGAAAGAAAACATGCAGAAACAAAGTGCGGCACCCAGTCTAACTAAGGCCTCGTTTGGTTTCCCCCGACGTTTTTTTCGTTCTTGACGTTTTTTTCGTTCTTGAATGTAGGTATTACAACGGATAAGTATTTTTTTTCTTCTCAAATCGGCAAAAATACGGAGGTATAGCTAAATATATTTTGAAAAAGTGGCGTAAACAAACAGTAAAATAATGATTTTTTTACTAATTGAAATCGGAAACGGAAAAATTACGGCCAACCAAACAGGCCTAAAGTAGAATCATGTTTGTCTTGTCCGAATGCACATAAAATGCTATTTTATCAATGCTCTGATTTACAAAAATGTATGCAATGCCCATAAAATGCTATTTTCTGATGATGAAATTATAATGAATTTTAACATAATTACATAAAACAAAAGAATATTAGTTGTAAATGAGTGAAAATAATAATACGCATAAAGAACTGATTGACCACGGAAGGATCGAATTATTTTCAAAATCAATTATCCTGGATGTAAAGTAAATTTTCAAAGTAAATGTGATCCTTTAATAATTCAAATTGAGCAAAACCACAAAAGGGCGTGCCTCAAAGTTGCAAAACTAGAAATAATTCAGTCACTAGTATTCAGAACAGAATATTTATATGCTATTGAAGTACTTGCATATACATGAAAAGGTTAGAGTAGCTCCAGTAGAAGATAAGATTAGAGAGAGTCGCCTTAGATGGTTTGGTCACATAAAACGGCGGCCTTCCGATGATCCGGTTAGGAAAGTAGAGGTATTAGATTTGACTTATGTTAAGAAAGATAGAGGTAGACCTAAAAAGACTTGGTTAGAAAATATTAGAAATGATCTTTCTTTATTAGATTTAAACGAGAATTTGACTTTTAATGGGACACAATGGAGAAAAAGGATTCATGTAGCCGACACCACGTAGAGGGATAAAGGCTTATTGTTGTTGTTGTTGTTGTAGTACTTGCCGACTTGCTGGAAGTTATACAAGATAAAAAAATATTTCAGGTCAGTTATTGTACATTCCATATGGACTAGTTCCCAAATTGCAAGCAATGTCCATAAAATGCTATTTGACATGAATTTATATGCCGAGGAAGGAGCTGAAGGTGAAATCGCTGAAAACAGAGAAACGGAACTTGAATATGAAAAGAAAAAACAACAATATTCGGTGATTTGTTTTTCTATGTAAAATAGGTTTCAAATTAAATGAGGTCGCATTTCATTTTAAATTCAGCACACTCGCAAGGATAAAACTTAAGTTGTACCTCAAGCTGTTCATGGAGCCGTTTCTGCAGTTCCACTTGGAGCCGCAATGCTTCAGTGATGTCTCCACTACCATTGAAAGAAAACAAAATCATCAAATCGATTGCAACTAGCTGCAACAATATACCTATTAAATTAATTGGACACTGCAAGCTAAATGCAGTCCAGAAAAAAAATATTATAAAAATGATCATATGTAATTTGATTGTTTTTAGTATTAATTTTTAATTATTATTTTTTTTATTTTTTAGTATTAAATTATTATTATTTATTAATTTAATTAAAAATTTTAAAAATATTTTAATTTTTTTTAATAATTTTAATTTATTAATTTGTCAAATTTAATTTAAAATTTTAATTATTAATTAAATTAAAATAATTAATTATTTTTAAATTAATTATACTGATTAATTATTTAATAAATTAATTTAAAATTAATTTAAAATTAATTACTCAATATAATTTATTTAAAAATAATTAATTATTTTAATTTAATTAATAATTAAAATTTTAAATTAAATTTGAAAAATTATTAAATTAAAATATTTAATCAACAATTATTAAAATTAAAATAATAAACAATATGTTCAAACTCCAATGTAGTTATTATAGAAAGGAAAGCAAGAAATGATCTTCAGGGCAAGGTACACTTCAAGAACTACCATAATACAGGTTAAAAGAACTCAATTTATGAAAGTTTGATATGACAATCTCAGTGTAAAACCAACAATGAAACACGCTAAAAACAATTGTTTATGTGTTTTCTCTAGAGTTTATGGTAGCTATTTGCATGCAATGTAAAATGTGCATATGGTGTTGCTGTATGTTTATATGTGCATGCTGGCATATTTGTCTGTGTATTGATGCAGGCGGTCAGATAATCTGCATTTGTTGTCTACTTCTCCCAGCATGTTGACTGTTATCATTCGCAGTGAACTATTGTATTCATTGCATATCAAATTCCTCTGCTTATAGGGGATGGATATATTTGCTTGTCACTAAATTATTGTAGACTGCATAAATGTCCTAGCACTTGTTGCATGCTTCTGTATATCTATATAGGGAATATCATCAATTGTAGGCAAGTTCACTGCATTGCGCTCATATGCTTATATATTGATCTCGACCGTAGGGGGTTGTATGCATGAGAAGTCTCCTTTTTATTGCCTACAAGAAGTGTATGTCTTCTTTGTAACTGGATGAATATCGCTTGTCAGTGAGTTGTATTTATCATACTCTTCTAGCTTGTACTTGTAGGATGGCAGTCGTCACTGTTGTCTACAGGAGAATCGGTATATTTGCATACAAGATACTTGGCATTGATGGCAAAGAAGTCGTCTTCTCCATGACCCCCTCACTCAGTGTGTAGACATGTCACATTCCTTGTATGTTGTGCATTATCATTTGCAGGGTTTAATGTGCTTGCTTGTAAGTTGACTTCATAGAGAGGTTGTTATATCTCTATATTTTGTTTATAAGTGCATCATAGCACCACTCATGCATAGTCTATTGTGTATATTTACAGTTACTTTTGTTTGATTGTCATGGTTGCTAGCAAGATTGCTATGGATGTCACTATTATTTGCATATGGCTTGTAATGCTTGTTAAGATATTCTCGTACATCTGCTTGTAATTAGGTCACACATCCTTATTAATCATCGTTGATCATTGCACGTTGACCCCCTCAATTTGTAGGGAATTTATGCGCTTGCTTGAAGTTGGATTGTTGTTGATGATGTGGATATTACTACATTCATTATCTGCTCTTCATATTCCACTTGTGAACATCTCCATGTTGCATGTTGATTGTTATGGCTTGCAGAGGTTCAGTGCATTTGCCTGATAATCACTCATCATTAACTACAAAGATGACTCAGCGTCTACTACAAATTGTTCATTGTCACTTGTAGGTAGACTATTGTACGCATAATGAATTTTCTACATTTGCTTGTGGATGCTTGCAATCATTATATACCGCACTACGTGTGTTTGCAAGAAAATTCATTGTCAGCATATGAGTTGGTGTGCTTCTCTGCATACTGATGCTGACCACAAAGTGAGTTGCATTCACGACTGATTTCCCCATGCATATTAATTGGAGGTTGCTATATTTGCTTGCATGCTGGTTGTTGTTGTCCACAAGGAACTGCTATATTCATCCACAAATGGTCGACAATGATTGAAAGGATATTGTAGCATTCATCGCATATCCCTCAAGTTCATTTGTAGTTTGGCGAGTATATTGCATCTGTTTGTATATGTTTCACTGTTATTCACAAACACCCACAAGTCTTCTATAGTTGCTTGTGGATGGACTATTGTGTGTGTTTGCATTTGTTGCATTCTTTATGTATTTTATTGTGGTCTTTGGTTCTTACAATATATCTGCTACTGTTGCCTATAGACAGGTAGATGTATTCATTCACAAATTGAAGTTGACTACAGGATACTGTATTTACTGAAGTCTCTCTGCATCTATCCATAAGTGGCATATAATGCGTACATCTGCATTCGTAGAGGACCCGTACGTATTGCAGATCTTCTATCATTACTTACAGAGGATCCATCACACTGGCGATACATTTACCATCATTGCTTGTAGATAAGATTGTTGTATGTATTACAAGCTCTTTGTTGTTATATGTGTGGGCAAGTTGTGCTAAACACAGGTCTTCTAGTGCTGCTTGTAGGTGGGTCATAGTGTGTTAGGAAATCATTGGAATCTCCAAGTAAACCCTAATTATCTTGATGAAATCAGTGATAACGATCCACAAATCCAAAGGAAAAACCAGAAAACAATAATTTTATTGTGATAATCAACTAACGGAAGAAAAATAACAAGATACAATTGATCCTCCATTCGAGAAGAGGATCTATCTATACCAAATCTCTAGATGCCTCTAGAGCCCAAAATAACCTAAGAGATCTCAAATTCAGCCAAATTCAAGATGTCCTAACCCTAGGAAAACAAACTATTTAATGCATAACATTCAAAAGGAAATCTCTAAACAGACCCTACTTTGAAATTTCTCTTCCAATCCCCTTCAAAAACCTTCCTAAATAGCTCCATGAGGATCAGCAGTCAGATCGTGCGTACAGGAGAGGTGGAACTCTTTTGCCTCTGTTTTGTTGAGCCAGTCCCGTATGGACTGGCTGGACCGGTCCAATGGACTGGTTTAACAATACTCTCCTCCCAAAGACCCACTTTGTCCTCAAGGTGGAAGGATGGGACTCTGCTGATAGCTTTCTTCAACTGCTCTGTTAGTGGCCATGTTATCGTCCATTGGAACCAAGCTAGAACTTTCCCCTTTAAACATAGCCATGTAACCGTAAACTTCTCCTCCTCATTTAACCCATTCACCATGAAATATATCTCCACCAGTACACCCACCCATAAGCATCCTCCCTTTCAAATACTAGCATCCTCAACTTTCTCATCCTATGATCGCTACCACCCCAGTAGCTTTTTCCTCCTCCAATATAGCAGTTGTCGTGATCCCTCCATATTTCCCCTATGTATTGAGGGTGGTAATCCCACCTTACTTACCTCCGCCTCACATGACCCAATTCCCATGATTCGGCCCGTCCCCCTCCTTCGGTCGTCCACTCCCTTGCTTAAAAGACCTCCCATAGTGGTCGGCCATCCCACCACCTTCACAATGAAGCTGCCTTCCTACTGTCCCCCCATTTGATAACCCTATTCTGCCCCTTATCGAAGCCCTAAGAAGTGGCTCTCGACCCCCTCCTCCGATGACCCACTCCCCTTACCCAAAATGCCTCTCATAGTGGTCAGCCGCCCTACGACCCACTCCCCTTGCAATAAAAAGATATTTTCCTTATTTTTTCGGAATTTCATATTGCAGTTCGCTGATTTTGCTGAAATCGCATCTACTTCCTATCAAAAGCATATAATAAAGTTCCAAGAGAAGTGTTATGGAGAGTTCTAGAAAAAGAAAGGGGTTAATAATGCATATATTCAAGTCATTAAACATATATATGTAGAAGATGTTACTTGTGTTCAAATACAAGGTGGTTTGACCAAATATTTTCCTATATCAGTTGGATTACATCAAGGATCAGCCTTAAGCCCATATCTTTTTGTTTTAGTCATGGATGTTCTTACTAGACATTTGCAAGATGATGTACCCTAGTGTATATTTTTAGCTAATGATATTCATCTTGTTGATAAGACTATAGAGGGAGTTGAATGTAAACTTGAATTATAGAGGTCAACCTTAAAGTCTAAAGGTTTTCATTAGAGTAGATCTAAAATTGAATACATGGAGTGTAATTTTAGTAATAATAGATCTAGTGGGGGAATTCTGACTTTGATCGATCAAGTCATTAATAAGAGTACACATTTTAGATATCTTGGGTTGATTGCTCAGAGTGATGGTGAAATAAATGGGAATTATTAATAGAATTTAAGTTGGATGGTTAAAGTGGAGGAATGCATTGGACTTGTTGTTCGATAGAAAAGTTTAACTCAAACTCAAGGAAAAAGTCTATAAGATGGTGGTGAGACCTGCAATGCTTTATGGCGCAGAATGTTGGTCATTAAAAGAGAAGCATGGTATTAAGTTAAGTGGATGAGGATGCTAGGTAGATGAATGGCTTTATACTTAGAGACATGATACGAAATGAGCATATACGTGAAAATGTTGGAGGCTTCGACGGCAAATAAGATTAAAGAGAGTCGGCTTAGATGGTTTGGTCACATAAAACGGTGGCCTTCTGATGACCCATTTAGGATAGATGTATTAGATTTGGCTTATGTAAAGAAAGGTAGAAGTAGACCTAAAAGACTTGGTTATAAAATATTAGAAATGATCTTTCTTTATTAGATTTAGATCAGAATTTTACTCTTAACATGACATAATAAAGAAAAAAGATTCATGTGGCCGACCCTACGTAGTGGGATAAAGGCTTGATGGTGTTGTTGTATCATCAAAGGTAATGTCTTTTGAAGTAAGAGATTTTTTGTTGGGAGGATGTTCACACTAATACCCTTTTTGAGCAAAATACTAAATAAAGATACATTTGCGAGCTCTATGATCAAGTTTAACCTTGTACATATTATTGAAGCTCATAAAAACTCCTATACATCTCTAAATTGTAGATATCCTCACAAAATCATTTTCATGTGGCAACAATGAAATTTGAAGTCCAAGCAAAGAATGATTAACATCTACAACCTAGCTTGAGAGGTGTAAATTTTCATCAAACCAAAATTCGAAAGGCTTTATGCTTTGACTAAGGAGGATTTTTTGAGCAACTAGTTTAAATCCTTTTATTTGGTTTCTTTTGTTTTGCTTGTGCCTTTTAGGTACCTTTTAATTGTAATTAAGGGCTAGGAGCCTAGGACTATAGGAGGATATAGTCCTCTATTTATAAATATAGCTTCAGATTTCATGTATTAAAGCATAAAAAAGAGAAATAAATATCAGTTTTTTTTTTTTTTTTCAAAACTTCTCAATATATAAATATTGTTTGTGAGGATAGAACTGATATTGGTGGTCAACCGATGAGCACAACTTACTGTTTAGGTTCTTTAATTTCTAGCTGCACCTATGTAGAAGTTAGTGTTTTCTTCACAGAAAGGTCATTATTGGCAAAGATTGCTTAGTAGTTTAAAGTACTTAAGAAAATGAGCAACACCCAAAGCAGATATTAGTATAACTAAAAAGTATTTTCAACTTGGATATGCACTGCTAAGGGTGAATCTCATCGCGGTATTGAGTTTTGCTTTTCAAAAACTTGCCAAATCACATTTTCATTCTTATGGAAAACTAATATAGTCCTAACTCAAATGATAATTCAACAAAGCATCAACGAGCAAAGGCTCCATCTTTAAATTGACCAAGTATTTTTGTGATTTACAAAATAATTCAAAAGGTTATTTGAAGCAACCAAATGAAAGAAGCATCTCTATTCTATCCTTTAGCTGGGAAAGGCTCCATATTTTAATTTGATAATTTATTTACTAAGGTGATTTCTTCAAAAATTGCAAATTCTTAAAATGAAATCAGTGTAATCTTCAACATATTTATGCATGGAAGCATGCATGAATGGAATATTTAATTTTACCGTATGTTGTTGGCCTTTCAAAAATCAATAATAGAAAGATTGAGGGATTGTGATAACTATCTTTCTTCAGTTTTCCTAGTAATTATAGCTAAATGATCCAGGTTCAATCAAATTATTTCAACTTTAGGTATATCTACTGCAGATAGAGGATCAGGTAAGGATACGATTTTTGGTAAATCATAAAACTTGAGTTTCTCCCACCTACGCTATTACACTATTTCTCAAGCACGACATTTTACAAGCAAAAAGTGCAAACTCACATGCACAACTTAGCTAGCATGATACAATCTTACAATTACGGGATATTATCTCCCACCATGTGTAGTTCCGGCACAACTTAAATAGGGACCGCAGCACACATATTTTTCAAAAGTGTACTTTATTCAAATAACTAAAAAGTACCTAACACGCCTAAAAACATTATTAGAACAGTATCAGATTACATACACATGCCGAAGACCATGAGAATAGTTCTAATTTCATAATTCAGTTCTCCATTAAGACTTCACAAAATTCCACTAGGTTTCACCTTTATAAAATTGTCTGGTTGACGTATAGGATAAAATATTACTGCTGAGATATTAATAGAAGTTTCTAGCACAGATTCAGTTCAACTTACCATTTCAGGCTGAAAGATGGATTTTGAATCGATGAATTGTTGTTACTTTCCACAGCACCTAAAAGGAAAATTGAAGCATCTATTCATAATAAGATCACATTTATTTAATGAAGCGGTCAAAGACTTTCTAACAAAAGAATGTATGTTCATAGTATCAAAATGAGAGGCGATAGTGCTAATTCATCGCCATCTTGCAAAAATGGATGCTGTCTGTTGGTGGATAAGGGCCTTTTGCTAGTCCAAACCAGGCGACAACCAGCAGCATTTAAATGGCTGTGCAAGCCACACCAAGGTCCAGTATTTTTTCATTTATCTCAAAAGAGGGAAGTAAGATAAATAAAACGTACATTATAAATGATAACATTTTTAGGGGAAAAAAAAGTAAATTGGGCTCACAAGAAATGATATGATTCTAAATCTCAAAAAGTAAAGTAACCTAACCTTCAGATAATCCTGGCCTGACCCGAGTTGTCCTGTATTTCTGCAAATTAAAGTAGAAACACAATCAGAAAGCATGACAGTGAACTGCTATTTAAGTGCATGCCTTTCAGTAAGAAAGCAATTAGAACCTGCAAATGGCTTTTAACATGGTATATGGTCAATCCATCAACCTGCATGAACTTAAGAACGCTCTTAGGTGTAGCTCCTACAAGTGAAGAAGCTAAAAATAAAGAGGGAGTAAAATATCAAATCAAACAATGATTCACAGAAACAAGCAGTTTACTTTCACTTCCACCAAGGTGGTTTACAGCTTCCACAAATTTGTCATGAAGTTCTGGGGTCCATCGCATGCGAGGCTTTGTTGCAGATGCCGTGGTTGAAGGTGAGAGCCAACTGACAGAACCAAGCTCCATAGAAGAAGAAATTGACGGATATTTACTCTGCTGATGCAATGAAGCATTGGATAATGGTTGATCACCCTAATAAATGAGAAATAGCAACATATTTAATTACAAAGAACGTTGCTAAATAATAGTTATAGCATGTGCATACCAAGTAGATAGCAAACTATAAGCATCATCATTCGGAACCTCCTTTTGATTTTCAATATAGACAAATCCAACGAAAGAAGCACAGATCACCATGCAGCATCAATAGAGACAAACTTTTTATAGCTATTCAAGTTTAATATCCATTTACAAAAAGTAATAAAGGAAAATAGTGGAGATTGGTTTTTGGAAAAAAAATCATTTTCTTAGTAACTTGTAACATATTACTATTTATGAGGTAGGCAATCCAACAAAAGTACGACTGAGACTATCTAAAAAATCTTGAAGCTACCTTCGGTTGAACATTGTTATCATCTGATTCATTAAAAAGTTCGAGACAATAATCATTCATCAACTCTGTCAGGTCTGCCAACTCATTCTGCTCTTTAGAACAAGCATTCATAGCACGATTGCTCTGAATTTGATTGCTCGCAGCCGTTACACTATCAGGATAGTCGAGAATATCCTCAAGTGAAGCAGGGCACCAAGAGCTTTCATTAAATTCTTGGGAAAATTTATCTGATGAGGGTAGATACCCTTCTGCATACGTATAACTTGTAGAAGGGGGCATAGTAACGCAATTGGCTGACTGAGAACGAAGCAGAACATTAGATTTTTTCCTTTCTTCAAGTAAATCAGAAGTAAAACCAATATCAGATGATGGTTTAACAACACCCACACTTGACGTGTAAGTGTCAAGTTGCGACACATGATTACTTTTAAATTGCCTTTCCATGGTATCCTACTGGGAATGAGATAGCTATTCTCTAAAGTGATAGCTAGAATGGGAGCAGATAATAAGAAACTCAGAAATTTCTATATTGATGAGCTGCTTCAAATCTGATAACTGTAATGATGTAGCTCCACATGCATCCATTGTTTTCCTTAGGAAAGTTGGTCAAACCCTCCTTTTCTTGGATAATACATGATGACCAAGATACAGTAATGATGAATTTTGCTTTAGACGATGCCAAACAATGTTACAGATCAATCGTAACGTCATAATCCATTCTGCCTCACAACCTGTTAAGAACAAAATTCAGGATTCTAATTGCCACAGAGAGCGAGCCCAAAACAATTGAAAGTATTAAATAGAAATTCCTTGGGAAATAGCAAAACATGGGCAAACCGGGTATACCAAAAAAAAGTAAGGTCAAATTACAAGGGAACCAAATCAAATCCATACAAAGGAGAAGTTCAGCATTGCAACAGTGTATGGTTTTGTAGATTAAAAGGATTAATAACATGAATATAAAGATAAGAGAGAATATAAAAATAGATGTGAAAGCAGATTAAAAAATAAAAGACTAAGAACTAGTAACCTCAAGTGCCTCTTGTATGCTAATTTAAAGGTCTAACATATTCAAGAAAAAATATATAGAAATTATTTCGTCTCGCCATAGTATCCGAGACAAAAAATCCTATATTCTGATTCCTTTGCTAACACTTGCTTGCTCATGTCCCATTTTGCTGCTGCATTCTTCCATTTTCTCTCATCCCAGACTACTACAACAATCGTGTGGATCCGCATGAAATTAATCCTCTTTAAGACTCAATAATAAATAACATTATATTAACTTCTGCTCGGTTTTCACTAAAGAAAGCATATGAGAGCAATCTAAAATGTCATGCAAACACTCAATATAAAAAAAGCTTAACATGAATAAGCAAACATAAACAAAAAGTCTAAAATAAGCAAATAAATAAGTCCTAAAAAAATTAGTTATGACTTCAGACTTTGAATTGAAAAGTCACTTGCAGTAGCATCACTTAAAAAGTCTCCATTAGAATAGTCATCATAGTTGACAGCTTTCCTCCCTACCTCATCCTCCACTGCATAAACAAACTCCCAAACTTAATCATCAGCTTCAATCTCAATCATCTTTTTTTCCCTAATCAATAAAATTCAATAAAAACATTATTTAAAACAACAACTAAATTGAATTTTTATGACATCTATTATATAAAGTTCTATGCTAATATCTTATGTAACTTTATTATTGAGTTTTGTTATTCTTCTTCCTTCCACTAATTAAAAAAAGTTAATATTGAAATCTTCCTATTATAATTCTTATCGTGAAACCTCCACAATTTATTTTTCATTTGATAACACATTATTAATAACCAAAAATCTTCATTATTCTCCAAGAAATTCATGCAAACCCATAATATAGGCATACATCTCATTGCATGCTCTTGAAAGTGCACCTCAAAATGAAGATTGGATGCTCCTCAGCCTAAAACGCTATTCAAGTTGCATAATTTTAAACACTAATTTGTTGGAAATTTTTCAAAATCATAAATTGGTGTAGTCCAAATAAGTCAACGTACATCTTTGTACAAGGAGTTGTCATCCTTAACCATTTTTTAATCATCAAAGGGTTATATAATGTTCATTTATGATAAAAAAAACTAGGAATACTTCAATATATTTTGAATAAAGATCGAAATGTCCCTATCAAAATCTATAAATTATGCCTTTACTTAATTCATTTAGGACATTATTTATTACCATATCTTAAGAGAATTCTAGAGCTCTGATACCGCTTAAAATTCTTGTTGATCCCCTATAGTGTTCCAACATCATACTGCTTCACCTCCATGATGAGGACTGCTTGACCATTCTCAATAGTCCCTAGCCTTTTAGTGTTGCCTTGTCCGTTAACCCCAATGGTTTTATGCCTACACATATTGGACGAGAATGGTCTTCTTCACCATCAACACCCTCCTCGGCCTTTTAGTTTCATCTTGTTCGTAATCCCAAGGTCATATTACCTTCATCTCAAGGAGGAGGATTGAACCAATCATCCTTAGGAGTTTTCTTGAACTTTTAGTGCCATCTTGTTCATCTCCCCAAGTTCGTGATGTCTTCACCTCAACAAGGAGGGTATCTCAATCATCCTCAATGGCCTTCCCAAACTTTCAAAACCACCTTATTTGTCATCCCAAAGCCGACTCGCCTTCATCTCTAAGTGGATGAGGGAGCATCCTCAGTGGCCTCTACAACTTTTTAGTGTCACCTCATTAATCACCCCAAGGTCATATTGTCTTCGCCTTTGGAATATTGACCCGACCATCCTCAATGACATCCCAATCCTTTCAACGCCACCTCATCTACCAAATTCAAGTCACGTTGTCTTCCCCTTACATATAAGGACTATTCCAAAACTTAACCTTCTTGGGTCGCAATACTAAAAGTACTATAAACAACTTACTTTCATTTACTTTATATTAATGGCTTTTTTAGTTCAAAGAAGGGCATTCTCTTATGACTAATATTTACAATTAGCGAAAATAATTTTCACTAGGTTTGGCCTCATGGTTTTTCCCATTTTGGGCTTTTTAGAAAGAAAAAACGTGTCCCCTACCTGCCCCCTTTTAGTCATCTGATTGTGTGTAAGTCATTGCTTGAAGTTAAGGCGACTGAGATATCTCTTTACCGACACAACTTCCTGCACTCAACAATATTATTATATCAAGAAAATGGAAATAAAATCCTAAAAAAAATTATCCATACAAATATCAAGGTAGTTCAAGTAAGTCCAGGAAGTCTAGTTATGAAATTTTGATACTATACATTCCCAGGGCACAGTAGATTGATCGAAGAATAAAGGGTCAATCAAACGACATGAAAGGCTAGTGTTCAGGTACTCCATCGTTTAAAACAGGGGGAAGAAACTAAAAAGATTGAAAGATGGGAATCAATTAACGCCAATGAAAATGGGTACATGCGATCCCAATTGAAAGAAAGTGAATAAGAAATCAATTATTTTCTCTGATTCTAAACTGAAACGACTGTCGTCATACCTTCTGCGATCCCAATTGGCAAATTCCTGATTCTACCCTGAACAAGACCGGAGATAAAGCGGGTCAGTGAAGAATCACGCCTCCGGCGCGGCGGCAGCGCCGGAAAAGTCGAGAGCAAACAGAGATGAAAGTGAAAGGAAAAGGAAAATTCGGAGGGAAGCGGGATTCCTAAATTCGATATCATCGTCCAAGATAAGGGCGAACGAACGGCAAATGAAAATTCGGTCACGGATCAGTCGCGCAATTTATGCGCATTAACCCTCTGACTTCAAAGCATTTGCAAAACATCACGACCGCAATTTTTATTTTACTTTTTGGTTATGAATCTTTATTGCCATGCATTTAAATGATGAGGTGGATACAAACACAATTTTACATTTTTCATTTTTTACATATTTTATTAGACTTAGGTTTCTTTTTGGGATATTTTCTGAAATAAATTTTTAGAATAACAAATTTTTTTTTACAAAATTATGTTAGGATATAATAATGAAATTATCTTAAATGAAGTCTTATTCAAATTAAATCGGAATTAAAATCTTGAAAACTTTTTAATAAATCATCAGTAACAATAAAAAGTATCAATTAGTTGTAGATATATTTAATTTTTTTTGCGGTTACTTTAAAAAGACTAGTGAAGACTACCATTTTTCCTTTCACTAATTTTTTATATATAGGGCTACATAATCTAAAAAAATTAAAAGGCTGCAATATTTGAAATTAAATTATTAATAAATATTTGAATTCATGCTCATATAAGGAGCTATTAGGAATTATTTTTATATGTTATATTTTATTTTATTTCTTTTTCTTTTGATTAAATATAAAATATATTTGACATCTTAAAAATATTTTTGATATCTATAACAGTGGGGGCTAGTTGAGGGATGGGGGGTTCCCAACAAAAAATTCGAATATAATTTACAAGTATATCTTCATGCAGTATATTGATTTTTCATAATACATATAAACAATAAAGTGATTAATTAAATCTGAATATAAAAATAAGTTGAAGGAAGGTTAAAATCGGGCCCCCCTTTTATTTTTTTTTTTTTTTGTTTTATCACTATAGTCAAGGGAACAATGATCATACTTGTTGCGGGCTGGAAGATTCACGGCGGTAGAGTAAATAGAATTTTCGTCTTAGCGGTGCATTGATATCCTGCACACAAACAGAAAAACACCTAATATTTTTTTATGTGGAAAGCCCGAAGAGGGAAAAATCATGGGGCCTCGCTCATGTGAAAAGATTCCACTAAACTTGAGTGAATTACAAGGGTAGATCCATCCCTCAATTTAGAGGTGGTTAAATTATAGTAGTTTGTAGAGCTAGGTAATGATTCGACGACGGTCAGGCGGAAGTCTAAAAGCGTTTGTGCAGAAGTTCAGCTGACAATGAACGATCTGACAAAGCTCAGGCGGAAGTCCGGCTGCAGTCGATGACTGGGCGGATGGCCGGGCTAATGTCCGGTCGGGTGGTGGTCCGACGATGGTTAGGTTGAAGTTTGGCTGAGGTCAGCAACTGGGTAGAAGTCCGACGACGATCGGCGACCGGGCGGTGGTGTTAGAGCTCTTGAAGCTTCATAGCTCTCTCCAATCTGCAGCAAAAGGTCATCCTCATGTATAGAGTAGGGGTCTATTTATTGAATTTCATGAGTGGCATACCCAATTAATATATAGAAGATCCGGGGCTGGTTCGGTGTGCTACATCAGATGACTCGTATTGATTCCCCGATCATATAGAGTTTTTTCAACTATTTAAGTGCCTTAACAATGTCGGAATTCATATATCTTAGGCTCGTTGGATTCGTCTCGCCGAGCCACTCGATTTTACTATAAGCATGTCATATTTGGATATCATTTTATCATCTAAATAAATAAATAATGTTTTGACCCTCCAAATGTGGTCCGAGCCCCCGATTCAGACCCACTTGGGCTTGGGTTGGACCAATTTTGGTATTGTTAGGTTTGTCTTTTTGAGATATTTATATATATATATATAGTTTTTTAGCATATTTTTTAACTTTTTTAAAAAAAATCAATCAAATTTATTTTAAAAACACTTAAAAGAGCATTCAGCTTTCTAAGTGTTTTTAAAACAAACCTTTACTAATAGCTACCGCCACTACTTACCGCCTATAGCAGCCATCTCCGTCAGCAACAACCGCTACTACACACCACTACACCATAAATAAACTCAAATAATATATTTTTGAAATATCAAATATATTTTATTTCTCCTGGAACTATAAACAAAGAAAAAAAAATTATCCCGAATAGCCGAATGGCTTATCCGGACTATCATTTTGAATTAAAATAAAAAGAGTTATTATTTGAAAGAGGGTATGAATGAAAATAGATTAATAACTTTGGTGATTGGAGGAGAAGAACTTGATCGCGTGAAGTAAAGAGAAACCAAGCAGAATTGATGTATCCCTCAAAACGGTTGAAAATAGGAGAGAATAATAAATTATTTATATATTAAGGATTGTTTGAGACCGGTGATTTGCTTTTAAGATCGCAATCACAAAAGCAATAGAGCTCATTTGATTGCTTGGATTAACAAAGGTTCTTATTATTTTTAAAGCGATTTTTTAATACAAAGTTTTCTAATTAAAAAAAAAATTAATATTAAAAGATTAGTTTAGAAAGCATTAAGAAAGCTATTCCAAATGAAGCGTAAAAAGGTTTGAAAAAATGTTGAGTTTTAGATTTTATCATTTATGTTTCGTTTGGGACGACTTTCTTATTAAATCTTAAAGCAGCTTTTTATTAAAAAATTATTTTTTTACTAAAAACTGCTTTAAGAAGCAATAATAAAGTTTGTACGAAAAAGCTGTTTTATGAAGCAGTAAGAAAGCCGACCTAAAGGAAACCTTAGTTTTGCTTTGGTTGCAACAGGCGTGAGGATTCTAATTAAGCATATGTGGCAGCTTGAAGGTCCTATATATCATATTTTGAAAAATAATGAAATTGTTGCACACTCAAAATATGTGAAAATAAATTTCTCACATTTCAAAATATTTATTTATTTACGTGCAACTAAATGAACCCTAAAAATATTCTACACGTAAAATTTAAGACTCTAAGAAAGATAGTCAAAACTAGTGAAAAAAAATAATTAGCAAATATTTTGAAGATTTGAATGAAATCTGTGCATATTTGTAATATATATTATTTTCATGAAAATTGAGCAATAATTTTTTTACAACGAACACAATATAATAAATTTATTTGTATAACTTCCCATTATACAAATATCTGAAAGCAGTAGGCCAATAACATCAATTTAGACAATCAAAGCTTAAGCAAATGTTGTAAGACAAAACTTATAATTTTATTTATACGCTTTGGGAAAAGTTGCGAGGCTTGCAATATTGGTTGAGTTCCCCGGTACTTTCTAGGCAATACAAAGTATTCAGGTTTTCATTTAACAAATTGGCTCAATTGCTTTAGTTTAAATTTTACATATTTAAATAAAATCAATTATTTTGAGATTTTAAGGGTCTATTTGGGGAGAAAGTATTACTTGCGGACGTCAAACGGTATTCGGAGGCCAATCAAAGCGCCCCACATTATCAATCAATACACAACTGTGCACAGGGCTAATGTAGTTTTTTTTTTAAAGATGATTATAAAATCATTGTAGGAAAAATAATTTTTTTAATAGTTGTTGTAAAAATAAACTTCTTAACTAGGGGTGTCAATTTTGAGTCACGGGTCGGATTCGGGTCGAACCCGGAACTGAACCGGGTTCAATCGTGTCGACCCTAACTCTTAATTAAGACTCAAATTCAAAATCGACATCATATTTATAAGACTCAAATTCAAAATCTCTTAATTAATAGTTAAAATTTTCAACCAACAAATCAAAATGAGTTACTTCTACTAAAAACTCGATATATATATATATATAAAATCCTGCATCTCAAGATCTTGCAGGCTATTTATTTATATAAAGTTCTTCCTCTACTTCACTAGCATTCGAACACTCAACACACAGCCCAGGAAATTTCAAGCAGCAGAAATAGATTGCTGATATTACAACGCTAAGAAAAGAGAAAAATTGGCTCAGCATATTTTTATCAAATTCTTATTTAGAACAGATCTTAAAATTATTAAATTTATTATGAGATAAGTGTAATATAAATTTAAATTAATTCTTCATTTATTACACTCATCTCAAATAAATCTAATAATTTTAAGAACCAAAATTTGATAAAAAAATTATGCTAACCCAAATTTTTTTCCAGAAGAGGATCACAAGTAGTACATGGGATTTGGGAGCTTGAAAGCTCTCTTGGCTGTAGAGTGGCCATTAAGACTGCTCCACTGAGAACCAACAATGCCCCACAAGCGATATCCTTGCTCGACCAACTTCTTTCTCTGCTCTGATTTATAGCTCTGTGCATCAACATAGCTCTCCTCATCACACCGGAGGATGAGCTTGGTCCATCCATGATAGCCAGCTTTGAAAAGGTTGTCGACGGTGGCGGCGCGGAGATGCTCCGGCCGCCAGGAGATGATGAAGATGTCCAGCCCTTTGCTGTTGATTTCACGGAAGAGACTAAGCATGTCGTCGATCACTGTCGCCTTTCCCTTCGCCATCCATTTCTCCAGCGATGCTCTGTCTGGTGGATCGCTCCGGCAATCAACAATTTCCCTTCATTTGTTGTCTTTGTTGTTAGAATTGAGTGATGAGAAAAAGGACAAATTTAGGAGGAGAGATTAGAGGAATTATTGGCTCCGCCACTGTGAAGAGATGTTTGATTTGCTAAAAACTTTGATGTAACGTTTTTTATTTTTTATTTTTTTAATTATTTTATATTGTTAAGATGTTAAGTAATTTGATGTGCAAACTAGAGTGGAACTGAGTCAAGCCGGCTAGTGGGCTGACTCGAGCTCAACTTGAAAACAGGCTCGGCGAGTCGAGCTTATCGAGCTCGAGAGTCAAGCTTGAATACAATATCTAGTTTGACAGCTTATCGGGCTCGAGCTCAAACAACCCACTACTCGACTCGCGAGCTCGTCAAGCAGCTCGTGTGAAATAGGCAGCGGGGAAAAGTGTTCGCACACAAGAAAAAGGAAATCGTGAGCAGGAAAAGCTTGTGACAACGCAATCTGGCAACGAAGGACGGAAGCTCGACAGTTGCAGACGGTCGACGACACAAGCTCGATGGACTCGGATGGTTGACGATGCAAGCTTGACAGACGCGGTCGATCGATGATGCAAGCTCAACGGATGCGGATGATCGACGACTCAAGCTCGATGACTGCAAACGATCGACAACTCCAGCTCAACAGACGCAGATGAAAGCTCGACGAATGCAGACGGTCGATGACGCAAGCTCGACGGACGCGGATGATCGACGACTCAAGTTCGATGGACGAGAACGGAGACTCGACGGACGTAAACTTGACGACGCAAGCTAGCGACGAGGTGGACGAACAAAATGAGCTTGAAATGCCGCTTGAGCATCTCAACGAGCTTTTTTTTTTCCTCGGTCGAGTCGAGCTCGAGCTCGAGCTCGGTATTTGACAGTCAAACTAGACTCGAAAACCGACCGACTCGAGCTCGACTCAACTCATTTGCACCCCTAGTGCAAACAAATGTTAGCTAACTTGGTGCTCTTTGAGGCATTCACAATCCTTTATATTTTGAACTGCCTAACAGAGTTCTAAAGTTCAGCAAACATACCCAAAGTGGTGCTTCTTGTAGAACGGGACTGTGGAGAGGAGAGTATCGTCGACATCGAACACCCAGGCATCCCGGCTGTCGCCGGCAAGGCGAAAGGAGTTGGTGAGGAAGCGCGACGCCTCGTCGGCTACTCGGCGGACATCAGACTTATACAGAGAAGAAGACATGTACTTGCCCACAGAGCTGGCACACTCATCAGGGATAGAGTTGAAGTCCCTTATGTTGTGAAGCTCCACATTGAACCTCCAGCTTTCACAGTAGTTCTTATGAGTGAGCTCCTTCCCTTTCTCCAAATCTTCATCTCCTCTCTTAGCCACACATTGAGCTTCCAACAGCTGCAAAATGTTGCTCCAAGAATAAGAGTCATTTTCTAATGCTAAGATCTCTGTGGTTAAACACAGGCTTAGAAGCCATAGAAACCATAGAGATGCTCTGCTTGCCATTGTTGAAGTCTCTTTGTTCATTCAATCTCTGTGTTCTCTTATAATATAATGATGATGAAGATCATGATGCAAATGGATTAAATATTTACACATTTAAAAGTCGATAAGAGTAGTTGGACTGTTGGAGTATATATTTTAAAATAAGGGAATTGAAGGAAGAGGAAGCAAGTGGCAAACTAACATAAATAAATAAAGGGCCAGAAATCACATGGATTTTCGCGTGGAAGTTTAAATAAAGAAGGGCTATCTGCCTGAGGGAGATTGGCTGGCAGTTTTTTTTTTTTTTTTGGGGGGGGGGGACAGTCAAACTAGACTCGAATACCGACCGCCTCGAGCTCGACTAAACTCGTTTGCACCCTAGTGCAAACAAATGTTAGATAACTTGGTGCTCTTTGAGACATTCACACTCCTTTATAATTTGAACTGCCTAACAGAGTTCTAAAGTTCAGCAAACATACCCAAAGTGGTGCTTCTTGTAGAACGGGACTGTGGAGAGGAGAGTATCGTCGACATCGAACACCCAGGCATCCCGGCTGTCGCCGGCAAGGCGAAAGGAGTTGGTGAGGAAGCGCGACGCCTCGTCGGCTACTCGGCGGACATCAGACTTATACAGAGAAGAAGACATGTACTTGCCCACAGAGCTGGCACACTCATCAGGGATAGAGTTGAAGTCCCTTATGTTGTGAAGCTCCACATTGAACCTCCAGCTTTCACAGTAGTTCTTATGAGTGAGCTCCTTCCCTTTCTCCAAATCTTCATCTCCTCTCTTAGCCACACATTGAGCTTCCAACAGCTGCAAAATGTTGCTCCAAGAATAAGAGTCATTTTCTAATGCTAAGATCTCTGTGGTTAAACACAGGCTTAGAAGCCATAGAAACCATAGAGATGCTCTGCTTGCCATTGTTGAAGTCTCTTTGTTCATTCAATCTCTATGTTCTCTTATAATATGATGATGATGATGATGATGCAAATGGATTAAATATTTACATATTTAAAAGTCGATAAGAGTTGTTGGAGTATATATTTTAAAATAAGGGAATTGAAGGAAGAGGAAGCAAGTGGCAAATTAAAATAAATAAATAAAGGGCCAGAAGTCACATGGATTTTCGCGTGGAAGTTTAAATAAAGAATGGCTATCTGCTAACATTTAATGTTTTGAATTTATTAATTTAACATTTAACGTATCTAAATAATATGAAAAACAGCACCCCATTTTAACATTTTCTCATTTATCAAAGTGCTGTTAATCTTATAAATTTTACAAAGCTCATCTTGATATATTGAAGAAGAGCTTTAGCAACCAATTAATTGGTCTTGAGTTCGAATCTTAGATAGGTGATATATGTATGAGTTTACCTTATCCTAATTAGCTTAAAAGTGCCCCCAAACAATATTGTAATCATTCAAAAGCTATTGATTGTTGCTAAGATTTCACGAGTTTTTAGTCGCCACCGCCAGATGTAATTGAGAGGGAGTGACGGGAGTGGGAGTCCGCTTGTGCAAGATTGAGAAAGAGATGAGTCGCGAGAGTCAAGCAAGTTGCAAGAGTTGCAGGACACTCCTGGCGAATATTCCATGACACAACAACGGTAATTTAGATGAATTTTGAATGATAAATTTTAAAGTATAAATTTTAAATATATGATTTTAAAGATCAGGGGCGAATCCACCTTAAGCCAGAGGGGGCAATTCCCTCTAAAAAAATCTTTATTATATGACTATTTAGGTAATTTATCCCCCTCCATCTAATACGTACAACTTCTCACACTTCATTGTCATCAATATTTGTTGCAACAAAATAATTTTCAATGGGATAACGACATATCAAATTTACTATGGTGAACAATGGTTCATATTTAAGTGCTTTAAGGACTCATAACTTTAGTTGCTCTAGATTAGTATTTATCGGGATTTTTATTGGACGAGTTTGACCTCCAATATACTGTATACATAGATGAAAACTATTCATTCACGCTCAGTTATCCGTTACGCACGAGCATAGTTGAAGTAAAAAAATCTACACATCTCAGCTTTTACTACAAGGCTGAGACCACAAAAAAACATCGCTAGACAAATTATTAAAATTATGGAAAATTACAAAAATTACCTTATACTGTCCCTAATTAATTTAATTAAACAAATTCAATTTAGTTTTCAATTAATAGTAAAAAAATAAACAACACAAAGCCATTCCAAATTAAATTTAGTTTTCAATTAATTTTGCTTTATTAGTGAAACAAAAAAATCTGTGAAGATAATTCCAAAAGAATTAGGCAAAACAAACTGCATTTTTCCAAAATCAAATAATTTTTCTCTCAGTTCTTCGAAAGCACTAGACACTACAGAGATCTAAAATAATTATGTATTTTCTCAAACCTATAATAAAAAAATTGCCACTACATTCCATATAATTAAGTATAACGTAAAATAACTTATAAGACAATTAATTAAATGTAGAAAAAATAAAACATCTACCAATCTTTACATTTATAATACAAAAAATAAACAAAAAATTTCTAATAAAAAAACTAAGGAAAAATATTAAAAACACTTACAAATATGTGAATCGGCAATGACTTTCTCTCGAACACCACCGCCGGAAATAGAAAAAATCTAAGCGGCTGCTGTGGGAAAGACCTTGGAGAAATGAGGGAAGGCAAGATCACTGTAGATATAAATTCTCATCCCATTTTTCAGTGGAGAAATTATTCTGTGCGGATACCGGATCGTCTGGATGCGAATCAGAGTATGCCACGTTATTTGGTACAGAGCGAGCACACAGTCGCGGTACACAATAAAGAGGTGACGTGATACGCTCTGATTTATCTCCAGACGGCGTAGGTATACGCACAGAATAATTTCACCTTTTAAGTGTGGTATGTGACTATTTTTATTTATTTATTTTGTTTTCCTAAACTAGCCGCTATTAATATATGCCGTTAGCTAGTTAAAAATAAATAAATTTAAACACCATTTCCTTGGGGAGCCTGCGATTGGCTCAAGCTAGAAAAATTATTATGTCCGGATTCCAGCCCCAAAAAAATTGCGCTTCGTCCGGTACCGAGCTTATATCGAGCAGTACTCGATACTCGGTACCGCTCGATACCTGAGCGTGAACCAAACGGTTCTACCGTCCGGTATCCACACAGAATAATCTCTCCTCCCTCAGCACGATAAGTCACTGGTACCCCTCACGACTATGTCGGGAATTATTTTTTTTCCTTGGTGTTATGTCTATACAAACTATTAAGGGGACGGTTTAAAAAAAAATCAAATTTATGTGGCATATCTGATTTCTGTGACAATTTTATGTAGATGACATTTTTTTTATTTTTTATTTTTTTATTTTTTTTATTTTATGTAGATGACATGACAAAGTCTTTGAGTTCATTTGAGATCTAGACGATGAGGGCATACCCGCCCCGACTGTCATCATACTATGACAATAGTATGAGTAGTTTTTTGGAATTGTCAATATATAATTAGAATCAAATGTATAACTAGATCCAAGAAGTCTTTCCTATTTTTATGTTATGATCCCATAGAATTCTTTGGATTTACTTTCTAATTAGAATTGAAAAATGGATGGGTAGAGCCAAAGAGTGTGAACTATACAAGTTCACAATAAAATTTGATGAAATGAAAGAAGAGGCTCCGGTGTATAGAGAGGACCAACCCACAACCCCTTGGGGTTATCCTGCGCTTGGAAGAAGAAGTAGGAAAAGGAACAAATATAGTGATAGTTTTATTCTTCGTCGCCGTATGCCCGAGTGGTTAATGGGGACGGACTGTAAATTCGTTGGCGAGAACCCCCGTTTTTCACTAGGAATCCCTTTTTGTTGAATAAGATTGGTTAAAGTCGGGAACTCATAAGAAACTCTTTTCTATCTTTCCTTTCAAAACACCCATAGAAAGGGGGTTTCCAATTATAATCCAGAAAGGATTCGTGTATATATTTCACAGAAACGTGAAATCAAAGTAGGTGATAAAGTAGCTGGAAGGCATGGGAATAAGGGTATAATTTCTAAGATTTTGTCTAGACAAGATATGCCCTATTTGCAAGGGCCAACTTGATCCTCTTTCCTAGGGATCCCAGATGAGGCAAGCTCTTCTATTCTGGTTCATGGTTTATCCTGGCTATATGGTTTATCTGGGGGGGACTATAATTTTTTATAAAAGTGTTTGTAAAATTACTGTAAAGAAAGTAGATTTTTTAAAAGCTATTGTAAAAAGCCGATACCTACTACAAAAACTTATTAAAAGTAATGTAAACAAAATGATTTCAATCTGAAATGAAAAACAATAGAAAAGTTATACCAAATGAAATCTCCATCAGATAATTTTTTTTCTATTTGTTTGTTAATCTAAAACTTTTGAAAAATAATTGAACTATAAATCAAAATAGGTATTAGAGAAGCTTTATGATTAAGGATGATGCTCATTTCAGTGTTTACCAATCACCCTTTTTTCATGTTTGAAAAAAAAAATCTATTAAAATTATTTATAATTTAAGAAAATTATCATTAAAATTCTATAGGATTTATTTAAAACGCCTGCAATACTTTATAATATTATTTTAAAATTGGTATAGAAAGAATAACTCAATTACTTTAGCCGTTAAAAATAACTTTTCATCATTGAAATTTCTTTAAAAAATAACAAAAAATGATAATTAAATAAAAATACAGTTACTATATATAAAAGAAAAATGAACGGCAAAGTTGTTTTAAATAAATCCTTAATTTTATATAAATTGCACTTGGAAACCTAAATATGTCTTTTAACCCATTAATGTTTTAAATAAAATATTATATGTGCACCTACTCCCATAATATTAAAACGACAAACTATAATTAAAAAAATCATTGAATTTAATCAATAAAAAATTATTCTATAATTTTTCATACCACTGCGTAGTGCCCACTCAATTTAATGTACACACTCATCGATATGGGTGGTTGCATTAAAAGTTTTTTGTTATATCATCATCTTTACATGTATTTTTTTACAGATCAATTAAGTCAAAATCATATACACATCACATACGGAAGGCTCAAACCAAAGACCTCTTAATTGATAGTCAAAACTCTTTTTCATCGTGTTTAGCTCTTACTAAGTCAAAATTATAAATAAATAAATAAATAATACATTGTTCATTTTATTTTTTTTTTCCTTAAATTAGTTTAGTTCAATATATTTAAATATATAGAATTGTGTATAAAATTTAAAAAAAAAAACTTTATTTAAACGAAAATTATTTCTTTTATTTAACCCGCTCTTTAATTTCAATGAGATAAATCTAAAGAGTCTAGGATCACATAATTTCAATATTACGAAGACATCAAGATATATAAAGACTACTTTTAGCAAAATACTAAAAGAGACATTAAAAGAATCTCAAATAGACTTTCATCCTAGAAATGAAGGGGACCTAGAGTTGGACAAAGCTCACATTTTAAAAAAATATATATAAAACTATAATGATATGCATCTATGATTATAGCCAACATCCATCGTCTCCTGACTATTGTAACTATGTTGCCAATTGTTGTTCGCTGCCATCCGATTGCGATATCACGAACTTCATCAGCTTCTATCCTTTGACCTTAACAATTATCTTCTAACGTCAATGTTTGCAAAAATCAGGCTATTGCCTCCCAACTAATGTTGCCAGAGAGATAACCTACTATTATTGCTCTATGAACTTCTAAGTATTGTTGTTTATTATCTCTCATTATTTCTCCAGCATTTTCTCAATTCTCACAGAAAATAATTCAAAAATTTAAAAATTATAATCTCATATTCTCCAATCAAGGAGAATGACAAACTAATATAATGTTTCATTTAGATTATATATATTCAAATAAAATTTTAACTTATTAAAATTTTCGCTTAGAAAATCATATTATGAACATTTATTAATGTGTATCCAAATCTTTATTTATA